TTGCCTTTGGAGAGAGACTTCGGGGGAGCCATCAGGCCAAGAAGGAAGGATCTTGGCATCGATCCAGAGGAAGACACTTGCGGGCTATTTAAAGTAGTAAGACGCTCCTGGATAGGAGTAAGTGCCTCACGGAAAGCCACTCGATACTGCTCACGGATCTCTTTGGCATCCTCCCAGTCATCAGATAAAAAGAACTGGAATCTACTATCCGGCGATAGCATCGTACAAACCGCATAGATATGCCCGCGCATATGATCCGTTTTCTTATAGTACTCCGACAGTTTTGAATGGCTTGCTCCGAGGGAGGTAAGCATCTGCTGTTTCCATGCAACACGTTTTCGTTGTAGCTGCGACTTGCACTTCTCAAGGTGTTCAAAGAACTGGTTATAGATCCTGAAGACAAGAAACGACGTCGCCTCTCGTGTCTTCGAAAGGGCGAGCGTAAAGTCAAAGAATGGCTTTGTGAGATAGATCAGATAGTCAATTTGGCGCCATTGTTCATCATCAAGTTCGAATTCTGTACAGTTGAACTGACGACAGTATTCATTGATAGCAGTACGGAGTCTCTTCGCCCGGCGTAGCATCAGAAACGTTGAATTCCATCGAGTTTTGACGTCCTGGATCGGCATAAGTCCTTGCCCTGGAACTTTGCCTTGGCCTTTGTCGAGGTCGTGTTGGACTTTGAGGAAGTGATCTCGACGCTGAGGGCTCCCGCGGATATAAACAGCAAGAGATCGTATCCTCTAAGGTATGCGCAATGTCCCGTTTCTTAGACCTGGCCTCCGCATTCGCCTTAGCAAGGCTAATCTGTTGTTCCTCTGTCCAGACAGTCTCGGCTTGTTCATTCTTTGGGCGTGCTTTAAGTCGGTGAAGTAGTTGGTTCAGACTTAATTGGATGACATGAGCGAGACAGGGGACCCGGATGACGTTAAAACCAGTAGCCGAAGCCGAAGGCTCTTGTTGTAAAGACTGTTGTAGTGCCTTAACCAGAGTCTCATTATTCGATGCGTTATCGGTGGTTATTCCAAAGACTCGGTCCTTAATGCCATGTTCGGTAAGCGTCTCCATCAGAATAGCACTTAGGTTTGCACCTGTATGCGAACTGTGAAGGGGTTTAAAGCCGAGTAGCACCTCACGGTAGACCCATTCGGCATCGATGAAATAGCCAGTAATAGCCATAAATGCCTGCTGAAATGGAGATGTCCAACAGTCTAACGCAATCGAGATCTTTGCATGTTCTGGAAGCATTCTGAGTGTATCATGCTGTCGTTCTTTAACACGGCCAGACAGGCGACGTCGAATTGTATCAGCGGAGGGCACGATCGGAGGGCTTAGGGCGGATTGTGCCTAGATTCAAGACTTAAGATTTAGTTAGGTGACGAGGCAAATAGAGGCTGATTGGTAAAGACGGCGGATTTGGAGGATTTGGGCGATTTGACGCCTACGGACTGGCGTCTGACGGACTTACCTCTGCGATGAGCTCACGAAATGCTGGATTTTCAACGATTTGGAATGGAAGCCGGTTAGTAGTAATAAACTCCAAGATTTTACTCTCAAAACCTTCTTGCGAGAATGTCTGGCTATGACTACCCTGATCATGATGCTAGTTAGTAGGGTCTAGTAGAGCTAGGTATGATAGTATACCGTTTGAAGGAACCTCGTCAATTCAGCCCTCTGCCGGCGTCCACTTGTAGCCTTTTGGCAGGCTGGGGTCTGAAGATGACGGGTAATTGTTGTCGTGCCATGACGACCAACCCTCCCATTGGCATCCTTCTTAGTAGTATAAGGGTGCTCAAGAATTGCATCGCAACGCTTACACAAGACCTTTGGGTTTCCAGTCGCCGTATGGGCCACTTGCTCAAACTGTTTCCAGGTCTCCGAAGCGGAGCCATGCTGTGACTCCCAAGCGATCTTGTTTTTAGATCCATAGTCAGTCTCCAACCACCAGTTGACCCAATCAGTGTGATTCATCGCGTCGTAAAGGAAAAACTGGCCTCCTCTCCTACCAGGACCGACACGTTGGAAGCGTTCAAGGGGATCTAGGGCGATAGACGAAGGAACAGACGGCTCAACGAACGAGAAGCTATCAACCTGCCGAGAGGTGGACGGAGTAGCTGGGCAAAGAGAAGGCGTAGCAATTGACGAATTGTCGGGCTCAGTGTCGAACAGGCCCAACTGGGAGGATCTAAACTCCTGGCTTTGCGACATGATCAGGATGACAACTTGATAGTAGGTTCAAAATTGGATGAAGGGCTTCAGGGGAATAGCTTCAGGAGGAAGAAATCGACATACCTTCTTAGTGAGAGAACTGTCGACGTATCGACGCCGTAGCAAACAGATATTGTAAACAGAGATCACCGTAGCAGTCGACATTAAAACGGAATATCTTGATTCTAGCATCTGATTGGCTAGATCATGCATATGCAGTGAATTCAGCCCATCCAAAGCCCAAGAAAAGTCCATGGATAACCCATCTCCCCGCCCATTTTACAATTTGTTCGCCCAAAACATCTCACCCCATGGCTCATGAGATATCTTCAAACCTCTCATATCTCTGTAATCCCCAGAATATTACGTTTCTGTGAAGACAGACGTTAAGTCTGAGAGATTGGCTATCTTTTGGTATAAATTTCAACTCTATAAACCTATAATTCATAGATTTGACCCTTGAATCTACAGTTCAACAGAAACATGCACCTACTTCTAATTATATGAGATATATATCTCTACATGTTGACACTTTGGAACTCTCTAAGTACTAGAATACTACGAAAACTTGGTGAAATTGGATTGTTTTTTGGATGACGCCGGTAAACTATAGTGCCTACTGTAGCTGGCTTCATCTACGACCTTAATTACTATGTCGTCGCCGTTGGATCTTGAGATCTTGATTCTTGGGGGAGTTGAACCCCCGGATTGGGAGTTGGAATACTAGATCAGGCCTGGTAAAACGTCGGGCCGATGTATGCCTTGTAAAGGCTTACAGACTGGAACATGCGTAAAAAACAGGCATTAATCAGCGGTTTTATGAGCGCCAAGATCGTAGTTATGCATAGAAATGGGCTATATTGGGGGCCTCATGGGCCCCCACTCATGGGCTATGGGTTGGGGCGGGCTATAGAGGTTAGGCCCACAGCCCACTGCCGGTTGGGCTATGGGCCTAAAGGTCGGGCCCATTTATGGGCTTTGCGGAGGTCTAGCATAGCAAAGAAGTCCCATTCTCGCTAATAGATACGAACGAGTAATTCCGTAAAGTTGTGACATCATCTTCAAATCCGACTTCCGTCGGATTCAGATGTCTCCCCGTCACTAGAGTCGTTGAAGAGTTCTGTCCTTGAGGTGAGACGAGCCGGTAGCTGGCGGCGGATAACGCTCTCGGGTATCCCTTGTCGATCGAAAAAGCTCATAAGAGAAAGTAGTTCCGCTGCAGATGGCTTTTCGTCGCGAATATAATCGAATGATATTTGCTAAGTCACTAGAATTGAGTTCTTTGCTTCCCAATCCCGGTCAAGGTGACCCGCCTCTTTTTTGAGAAGTTTTATCGCTTCGCTATCACTTTTCTGAAAATCTCTCAGGTATTGTGATACTGAATAGCGAGGCGCCCGATTTCGAATATAGCCCGCGGCCTGGGTTATTGCAAGCGGCATAAACTTGAGTTCTTCCACTAAGTGTTGGCTCTCCTGGCTTTCCTCGGGTTGATTAAGCGTCGTCTGAAGAAGCTCTAGTGCCTCAGACCTTGCCATCGGTTCAACGTCAATAAGGTCCTTATGCTTGACCATCCTGAGCGCAGCCTCTCTGCTTTGACTTGTGATGATTATAGATCCATTCCGGCATCTGGGAATGTATTCTAAGAGAGGTTTCGTTGAGGCGTTTGGTGGCTCCTTCATTGAAGTCCCTTTCCTTCAAGCTACTACGAGATTGCCTGGCCAAGCAGAAGCAAATACTCGGGCTCAATCATTACTATACCATATCCACTTCTCAAACTTTGCTGGAGTGGGAAACAGAGATGTTGGATATTGGTAGTAGATGAGCAAGGTACTTGAATATACTATTTTTCCTTCACAGTGGAGCTAGCGTGGTGGTGTAATTTTATAAAATAATTTGGAATCATAACGGACTTCATATAGGGCGCGCGAAAGAGCTTGCCGGTATGATTCTGGCTAGCAGACTCTGGTGGCAGGTGTTGAGCATATTCATGGTCAGTGTATTTCGAGAGATTGCAATTACCCACAGACAGACAGCACATGCTCGAAAGAAACGACGGTATACTGTATATTGTGCTGCCTCTTCCCTAGACAACTGGGGGAATGATCCGGTCGCCTGGTGCGAAATTTATTTCCAAAACTACAGTATAGGTTCGGGGCTAATTCCAACAGGTCTGCTACTATGGCTTGTGGATTCCATTCGTGTGCCACGTTGGGTTCGTTCGGACGTTGGTATAGCCAGTAGACCCTGTTTGTGTCTAACGTTATTTAGCAGACCAATATTAGGCAAAGAATTAATTCATTCCGCTCACACATGAACCACTGGATTGTATATCCCCAGAAGATCGAAAGGCGTTTTCGATTGCTACTACATCCTTTGGGCTCACTGGCTAGGAAGATGTATCGGCGGTCCAAGAAGAGGTTACGACCAACTTCACGCCTCGAAGGCCCTTCAAAATTCTCTACAGCTGTACGGATAGAGGAAAATAAGTCGGATGTAGGAAACCGATGGGAAGCAGCGGCCTACACTGCGGCGTGCGCAGCATGGCGTTTGCACGCTCTGCTTCGGGACCTAGGATGTATCAGAGCCTAATGGCTAATTATGGACAACAAACTTGAGTAAAAACGCTAACGAGATTTATGTTCAGTGCTTGACAGGAGTGTTACATGTCCTCCTACAGGTAAAATGTTATAAAGCTAAAGGGGTTGACTCTACTACTGGGCTACTTAACGTGCCCACCGCTAATATAAAAACAGGGCCCCTGATACATGGTGCATGGCCATCAGCAAACTCCTTCAGCCCATCACAGCCACCGAGATCGCCGAAGCAACCGTGTAGAAAGCAGTGCCGGGCTCAAGAGGTATCCCCGTCAGATGCAGCCCGTTCTTCGTTGTGACGCCATCGACAGGCTCCTCGCCGTCGAAACCCGTCGGTTTCGATGACCCCCAAGTGTGCTCGACGTGTATGTGTGTGTCCCTTTTTTTGTTTTTATCGTTCCTCAGGCACGGGAACTTGGTGACCGTCGTCCTCAGCACCAGGCGGTCGCTCCGCGGCAGCGAGACGTGAGCCTGCAGCAGAAACGTCGCGCGCTTCTCGGGGAAGTCGAGCTCCATCCACGAGCCGTGCTGCGCGGCGCCCGAGTTGATCGCGAGCCCAAACATGTGCTGCACCTCGCGCTGCAGCACCGCCGCGCAGAACTCGGCGACAAATGCCGGGTGCGCTGTCAGGTCCGCCCCGCCCGCGATGGTCGTGTACTCGAATGCCTGGAGACTGCCCGAGGCGTCGTCAACGATGTAGTTGCAGCCGTAGACCTTCCCGGGCGCGGTGTCGGGAGCCATGGGCTCGAGGAATGGGATCTTCCCGTGGATCAGCGGCGGCGCGTCCAGCTCGTGCATGACCAGGATCTCGCCCGGCTTTAGATGGAAGTGGATGTGGAGGAGTTTGATGCAGACGCTCGGTGGCATGTCGTGCTTGTCCAGGAGGCTTCTCAGGTAGTAGAGATCGTCTGCGTGTGTTTCGGCGACATGGCCCATGTCATGGATGAAAGGGATGCGGTTGTACAGCGAGGCTGGGGGGTAGGTGTTCTCGACGACTCCCATCATCTCGTAGTGATCATCAAGGTGATGGTATATGCGAGTAGCTATTTGGTGCTAAGGATGATGGGGAAGCGAGGAGCAGGAGGCGTGCGAGTATAGTGAGTATGATAATGTTGCGAACAAGAGCAAGAGCGATTCTTATCCATTTTTCGCCGGACAGGGGGTGGGCAGTAGGGAGCGGGGAAGGGGAAAGATGAGGCTCAAGGCTGGTATCAATACCAATCAGCTCGATGTTTGAACAGGGCAGAACGAGTATTTTCGGCTCTGCTGGGAGCCCGCTCAGGAAATTTTGTGTAAATTTTAAGTAGTACCTACTATAGGAGTAGTTGCATCCACATGCAGTTTTGGGCCGCAATACATGGGACTAGCCCAGGGTGCGTCTCAGGATCATCCCTTTTCATTGGCTGGCGGGACACCTATGCCGGCGATAGATAGCAATGGATTCCCTTGACTACAGTTGCATGGGGGGTCATCGTGGGTCGCACACCTTCATGGTTGGTAGCCTGATTTGCCGGATATCTAAAGGATTTGACTCCTGGGAAGCAGCCACTGCGCCAGTGCAGAGGTGGTTCCCCCCCGCCGTTTTTCGGTGGGTCCTGTTCTCCAGACTCCCACGCCATTCGGATGTACCGTCGGAAACTCGAGATGTGAAATACAAGACTCTCGTTGTCTTTGTTTGAGATATTCTATACTGCTGGCTTGAATTACTAAAGCGAAAACTGTTGAAGAACAGCAGGACAGTAATCTGATTGCAACTTACGGCGCTCTTTAGAGTAGAATTCGATACTTCTAACTCTGGAATGCGCTGGCACTCCGACTGAAAGCATCCGCCATCCCATCATAGAGCCTCTGAACAGCCACCGGGTCCGTCTCAGTCCCCGTGAAGATCTTCCCATCACGCATAGGGAAAACCAGTGCGTGCAGCTCCCTGGCCAGACCCTGGAGAGGAGTAAAGTCAGGAGAAAACTCGCCAAGGATTCCCTCGAAGCCCTCGGGGCTCATGTCGGCGGCCTTGTCCCGTCCAACGGCGCCAAAGTCCATCGTGCACCACTTCCAGAGCCGTGAAGTTTCAGGTAGGCCTTTGACAATGTCGGTCGCTTCGTCGTGCACGCGATCGTTCGCAATGGCGATCCAGAGAAATACGTAGAACAGAGACTCCAGGTCGTGCCGGTACGTGTGCCGCTGTCCCGAGAGAATCCCGATGGCCATGAACCCATCTGATCCAATCATTGGCTCGATTGGGCGGGCGTTTTCGAGGTCTAGCGCATAGTTGAAATCAAGCAACGTACCCTTTGAGCTGTCTGCGCTGTGCTGTGGAGTGATGATCAAATTCTTGATGGCGATGTCGCGGTGGAGGATCCTCGCATTCACGTAGAGAGACTGAAGCGCCCTGACAAGGTCGCGCAAGACCTCCAGAAGCTCGGGAATCGACGTGAACTGGCGGATCGGACGGCCTAGAGGGGTGTTTGCAACGCACGAGAATCTCCGGTTGACGAATGGTTGAGGAAAGTCCAGTCCCTGGCGGAGGTCGGCGACAGTCACCAGTTCCTGATAGTCTAGCAGCCGGATGATCCCCCAGGCGTTCCGCTCATGCGCGAGTTTCAGGAGGCGGAGCTCAGTGGGATCTTCTTCCTGTCGCCAGGAAAACTTGATGGCAGTGTCTGGCTGGCCGGTTGTCGATGCCAAGGCCGCATAGCAGGTTGTCCCGAGTCCAACTATGGATTCCGCCGTCGCAATTGGCTCCGGTCGAAGGTGGAACTTGTTGCGCTGATGGAATATGACGTAGCTGTCGGATCTAGGTGCAGGACTCCTGACAAAAGTGTTAAACCCAGCTTCCTCATCGCTGTTCAGGCTGTAGCCGGCCAAGGTCCGCATCAGCAGATCCGGGTCCTGCGCCAGGTCGAGCCTCTCGCTACTGTAGGCCCCTGCCCGATCAAACACCCAGAGCTCCAGCGTAGAACCGCGGACCAGGAACCCGTGTACAAAACATCGAGCTGACTGGGCTTTGAACACCTGCCGTGCTCGCTCGCAGAAGGGCAGAAAGACGTCGTCGTCGTCGGCTTCGGCCACGACGGGCGCGTCACCATGATGAATTTCACCAAATGCTCGAGTACTGCCTGCAACAGACTGGCGATCGGATGTCTCGAGGTAGATGACGGTGCCGCCCATGTTGGGGAGCGGCTGGCTGTGGATGTGCAAGTTGGCAAAGAACAAAGCCTGGAATTCGGCAAGCCATTCGCCTAGTGTGTCACTATCAGGGACACCAGCAGCCAACTTGCTACCAGGCCTGGCTGATTTTGCTTCTTGCACCTTGTTTTGGACTGCTGCGGACCAGGGTTTCCCCTCAAAGTATTTGGCAAAGAAGCCATTGACGCTTCGGAAGATCCTCCCTTTTAACTGGTCTCGGACAGATTGAATGGCAGCCTCGGTGGGCACGTAAGAAGGGTGTACAGAGGACATCGTTCTCAGAATCTGTACTATTCAGCAGAGTTATCAGTGGAAACGGCTGGCGGTGGTAAGAATTCAGACAGACTTCTGAGGAATTGGTGGGAAGACTTGGTGCCAATTTCGAGCGGAGGGGCATGGATAAGGAACGAGACAAAGGAAACCTTCACCAGATGTCGGAAGAGGAATCGTCCTCAGGCAAGATAGAAATATCACGGCTGAAGCTCACCGCTTTTTCTCGACAAGTGAGGCTGCCCGTGTAACAAAGCCACCCAAACCAATCATTAGCTTTGACGCGCACGCAACTAGACACAGTACTAACTGTAGAATAAGGGGCTTAGGAATTACAGTACATGTAAGTTAAGTCATGGATGTTCTTAGGTTAACAGCTCCAATGGCAGCATAGCGCATCTGGACAGCTTTGTGAACAGAGCAAGGGTAAAGTGCAAGGATGTCTTTTGGTGTCGCTGCAGGGATGAGCATTGGGCAGCAATGCGTCATTGTATCTCATTCTCCAGTAACGCTGCCTTAGATGATACCGCAGCTGGTTAAGGCTCATTCATTACCTCGCCAGCTCTCGGCAATCCACTGAACTGAGATTACCCCTCAGCCAATCCTCCGCGATGGCATAACATTGCTTTAGTGGGGACCGCCCCACGTTTGAAAAGGCCTGCTCTTCGGGCCGCGCGGAGGAAAATGGGAAAGGGGGCCGCTAGGCCCGTACCTTTTCATCTTTGGTTAGTTAGATCTCTTCTGCAATGACAAATTCTTTCCCAGAGATGTCCGCGCCACCGCTGATCGAGGTGCGCGGTCTGGCCCTCGTATCAAATGACTCCAGAACTCGATTGAGTCTGTCCCACTAGCTGCCAAGATTCACAGATTCTCCCCAACTGCCCCACCACGAATTCTGAGGGTCCCTCACTACTGAACGGCCAACCGAGGGATACGAGTGCTACTGAACGGCTGGCTCTGATAGTGGAAGAGAATATCCCTCGGTAAGGCTAGAGAAAAACTCGTCAATTGGCCTCAAAGGGAGTTGGTAGGGACGGGCTACAAACACCGCCCAGGCGAAGCTGTTCCACAGTCGGATAATGCGCAGTAAGAATGGGTTTGCATGGCGTACCAGTGTATTACCTGGAAAGGCTGCCAGGCTCTGTAGTCGACAATCAGCAAATTAGGCCGCGGTCATCTGTGTGATACGTGTGCGCTGACTGCATAAGCGATATATGCGAGTAGAGAGGCTGTCTGCTGACCTGCCAGTCGTCGTTGGTTATTTGGTGTGTTGGTTATTGGTATGTGTTAATATCGTCTAAAACAGAGGCTAGTCCACCAGCGCCGCAGCACCTTTAGCATGTTGGGCCGAGTTGAGCGTTTTTCAAATAAACATCCATCAAATAGGTGCTGCTTCGTCCTTAGTGAATGTTATCACCCCTTACTATTCCTACTATCTTTAGCTGATTCATGTTGCTGTCACAGCTAGTTATTCATGTAAGCCTATTACTATATGGAGAGGAACTAAACACATTTGCAAAAGTAACTGAAAAATAACAAATGTGAAACCAAAGGTCAAGGTACTTGTAAAACCTCTTTCTAGCAGGTCCTGTTTCTGGTCGTAAACTTAAGCAGGGATTGGCGCACGGAGTTTCAAAGCTATTTACTATGGTTAAGTAAATGCCTATTGCCATGCCGGATTCTCTCCCCTTAACCATATCAGCTCTGACATGACAGGCCCCACAAAGTAAGTAAGCACCCTATTTGCTTGCTGTGATCCGGCTTTGATGGTATCCGGATCTACTTCTTGGCCCCTGGCATGAGCCAGATCATTCCTATAATCACGAAGAACATGAGACTCTCTCTGCAAGTCCCGAAACGCTCCACTTGCAGCAAGGAAAGGAGAATAGTCAATGTCAAGCCGAGGAATGTTTTCAGCTATCACCAGTATATGCGAATAAAGGGAGCCGTTTCGAACAAATCGAGGGTATCCGCTTTAGGATCTTCTTTATGTTTTCTCCTGTGGACAAATAAACGTTCGATCTTTCATAAAGCCATCTCAAAAGAATAAGAGGAAAAAAATTAATAGAATGGAAGAAAGATACATTATATCAATTTCTATGTTGCGCAGGGCCCCCACGTCGTTTCTCAGGAAGTCGACTCGCCCACTTGCTACTTCGAGTTTCTGTAATAGGCCCCGTGGTCCAAAACTTTCGGGATATAAATGTTACTGGGTGGATCCGAGGAGAGAAGCAGCATAGCTCCTTGAAGGCAGGATGACCTACCTTCTGCTTTCAGCTTGGGCGTGGCTGGAATATGAGCAAAGATAGCAGAGGAAGACATCCTAAAGTTCTTAGCGGGGGTTTGTTCGATATCTGTAGTAGCAAAGAAGAGAAGGTTGTGCGACAGACTAGGAGGGATCATTCACGGTATTAATTCCCTGCGGAGTTCAGTTCCCTGCGCAGAGCCTCGGCGCTTACTTAGCTATGTACATGTAAATACTTCCCGAGGCCAGATGTGATATGGCTGCATATGCAGACTTATCACCGATCAAAGCATTTCATGGTCCATTTCTGGTAAGCTTATCGAATGAAGTATCTCTTCCGCCGTACAAATCGCTTCTATCGTGTCGAAATGAAGTTTTTCTCGAGATTTTGTACCAGTGGAGATCGGCACGTAATGTTTTATTCCGGGTCAAAATCGATGTGGACCGCGGGTGGGGATGTGTCACCGTATGTCGAGTGATAATTTGCCACCAGCAACCGATTCAACGCTCTCCGTTCCAGATTTTTTTATCAAGTGCATTCTTTGTAGCCCGCCCATGGCAGTAAAAGCAGCCAAGATGATCTTGAGGACTCGACTCCTCGGGCAGTTTCGGGCAGTGCCATCCACGGTACTTCAATACACACAGCGAAGAAGAGTGAATAATGGTATATAGAAGCAGAGGACGGCCAGGAAAGTACAGAGACACAGAACGGTTAGTGAGGCTAACAGTGTGGATGTAACTTACCGGAGCGGACGGGAGAAGTCATTCGTACCAGGAACGGCTTGTTTTCTGTAAATGACAGCGGGGGCATCCGTCATTATTGTCGCACTTCCGCTACATAGCTACCAATGAGTTGGTTTATCCAACTAGACCAAATACGAATTCGTACCCAGTCTAGTGGGTTGTGTTTTATTACCAACTCAATAGGGCGGCTGGGACAGTGTATGAGTAAATCTATCTATCTATCAATCAATCAATATGGTCGACCGGCCCTAAGAGCTATATTGCACCTGGGACCCTAGGAAAAGTCCCTAGAGACAACCACCCCCTAACTGCACGAGACACTCGGTGTCTGCTGGCCGAATTCCGTTCACGTGTGGAAAGCTTATGGAACCCCTGCAGTGTGTATACCCGTATACGTGGCCAAATTGTATTGGTCTCCCGTCTCGGGATCTGAAAAGTACAGCACATGTGCCTGTTGTTCTATCACACACATTAATACATGGGGAGCGCAACTGATAGGCCAATAGGGAGATTTTTATGTACAGTGGGATGTCACTATTTGACCAGCGCTAATATTTAGCATGTATCGCTAGTATGAATTAGGATAAAGCTTTATTAAAATTACACACCATTACATAAAATCCACTAGTAAAGGATATACAGTAGAAGAAAGATAATTACACGTAAGGTACACAAGTCGACCAAACCCAAATAGGTTAGTCCAATAGAGGATTGTCAATACTAATGTCATCAGACTTGGAGTAGTCAAGCTGTGGCAGTAGCTCCGGGGTTCGCTTATACGGCAGTTAAAATGACATGGGAGCGGTTGCTGGCGATCATACAGCTTACGCGGTTTTAACGGGCATGAAGATCGCTAGTTCTGTAGAAAAGTATGGTCAGTCGGGCAAATACTTTTAACGGCATTTTATCCACTACATTATCAACCCATTTTGATACCATAATGGATATGCCTTCTGTCAGTCTCAGTGTGTCTTTTTCGACTGAGCAGCCTCCCGAAGGCTGGAAACTCGTCACATGCACCACCTGTGGCAAACGCTACCCATCGAACCAAATCCACCAGCGCTAGGTATCAGTGGGGAAACCTCTCAGATATATTCCAGGGCTGACTGTTTGAAGAGGAGGAAAATGGAAATTGATAGGTTGCTGAATGGAGTGCATAAGATAATAAAAGCAACAGGAACTTGCCGAGGCATCTGGTCGAGAATATAGATGTTCGGTTGGAGAGGTGTAAACAAGGTGTTCAAGTTAAAACCCAAAGGAAATCATCACGAATACTTCGTCTTGGCCACAGCATCTCTAAGTGAATTATCCCCACAGCGTTGATGCCCTATCATTACCTGGCCCTCATTTTCTCCTATGTTCTGCTCATGTTGAAGGACTGTCCGCTTCAAATCTTGGCTTTAATCTCGAGTCCACAGAATGTAGATACATAGTGGATACCTAATTTCGCGCCACACTTTACCATACTGAGCCCCTCCTGGGGCGCAGTTCTCCCTTTGACCAATACCAGCGTCAGGAATGTAACGGACACGATGGGCAGGTGAAGGGGCAACTCCCAAGGAGCGGCGGGGTTTTTTTGGGGGATGTGGGGAGCCCTGTTCAACAGGTCTTCCTCGAAAGCAACCCGAACCTTTCGTCATTTTATTCCAAAATTCCTCCAGGCATAGCCTAGCCAGCTGGCAGAGTTTCTACGACGCCAACCCAAAGGCCATTACCAGTGCGCGCACCTGCGACCTCTAGTTCTAGGTGCCACGAGATGTGCGGCATTCACGTTGTTCTTTCCTCGAGCTCCCCGCACACGTCCAGCCATGACCTGGCCGCCCGGCTGCGGAATCGGGGGCCCGATCATTTGGGCAGAGTCGTAGCGCATGTCGGACCCGGCGCGCAGACTCTGACCTGCACCTCGACCGTGCTTGCGCTCCGCGGGGACCACATCACGGCACAGCCCTTTTACGACTCCCGGACCGGGTCCGTTCTCTGCTGGAATGGAGAGGCCTGGAGGATCGCCGGGTGCGAGGTAGAGGGAAACGACGGCGAGGCTATCTTCGGCCTGCTCGCGGAAGCAAGTGCTGCGGGCGCCGCGTTGGATGCCAGAGGCGGCATTCTTGATGCTCTTCGTTCCATCGAAGGGCCCTTTGCCTTCGCATATTTCGACAAGCCCTCGCAGACGCTCTTCTTCGGGCGCGACCGGCTGGGACGTCGGTCTCTTGTGTTCTACCAGGATGAGGCGAGCGGCACCTTCATACTCTCCAGCGTTCCGGAGTCCTGCAACCCTGCTTGGAAGGAAGTAGAGCTGGATGGCATCTACCACCTGACTCTTAGTGCTACTTCAGGGACTCCTCTTGCTGTCTCGCGGAACGACTGGCAATATGACGGCCAAGGCGATCTGGTGAGTAGCGCAGCGTCGTCCTTCTACTCGAGGTGTGCTGTCCTTCAAACTTACTTATCTAGATATCGGGAATCGGCGTGTTCAATGTATCTGGACCGCCTAAGGCCGCCTGTCTGACCGCTTCCGCGCCGTCTGTCCGGTCGCTGAGGCGGCAGCTGGGCGAGTCACTTCGCCTCCGTGTCAGGAACATCCCCAAACCGCCCGTGGAAGATGACAAGCGAGTGGACACGAGGGTTGCCGTGCTGTTCTCTGGCGGCCTGGATTGCTCGGTCCTCGCGAGGCTGACGCACGAGCTGCTGGATGATAGCTACGGCATCGATCTCCTCAATGTTGCCTTCGAGAACCCCCGCGTAGTGGCCCAGCTCAAGAAAGAGGCACGAGGCAGTCCGGTCAACCCGTACGAAACCTGCCCAGACCGGATAACAGGGCGGAAGTCGCTTGAGGAGCTGCAGAAATCGTGCCCAGGGAGACGATTCCGCTTCGTAGCCGTAGGAGAGCTCTCCCCGCGATATCAAGAAGTCACTAACGGTTTCGACACAGGTAAATGTGCCATACTCGGAGACATTGACGCATCGCAAGGAAGTGGTGTCTCTAATCTACCCCCACGACACAGAGATGGACCTCTGGATAGCGTATGCTCTGTATTTTGCAGCGCGCGGCCAGGGGTCATGCGCTGAAGCCGGAACGCCTGAGGCCCAGTACACCACACCGGCCCGAGTTCTTCTCTCCGGGCTAGGGGCTGACGAGCTCTTTGGTGGATACGCGCGGCATGCCACGGCCTTTTCAAGGCAGGGCCATGCCGGCTTGGTTGACGAGCTTAAGCTCGACATCGGGCGCGTGGGGAAACGAAACTTAGGTAGAGACGACCGCGCCATAGCTCACTGGGGGAAAGAAGTACGATTCCCCTACCTGGATGAGCGCCTAGTGCGGTGGGCTATCGAGACGCCGGCCTGGGAAAAATGCGACTTCGCCAACGGGGAGGACATTTCCGGCGTCGACGCGGTCAAAAGGGTCCTCCGACTCCTAGCTCTCGAGCTGGGGATGGAGGGCGTCGCGAGGGAGAAGAAGAGAGCGGTTGGTTTCGCACTCCATTCTATTCGAAGTCCCCTCGTCCCATTACTAAAATTGCTATAGATACAGTTCGGCGCGAGGACTGCAAAGATGGAAACTAGCAAGGTCAATAGCTTTACCAGGATATTGTGAAAATCCCCCTTGAGCTCGTCAGCACAGGCATGCCACAAGCAAGCCAAGCCGCTTCCATGTCCCGGCCGTGATGACACTACAGATACTTCTGAGCTGGAGAGGGCCAGACTTTGGCGTGACGCAGCTGCGTGTTCTGGCGGGTTCCCGCTACAACCCTCCTGCAAGCTTGGCTGTGAGCCGTTCCACGACGTTGATGGACAAAAAGGCAAGACTGGGCCTTGCGGCACGTGGATGATGAGGCGTGTAAGGCGTGTTGCACACCCACCCGACCTGGATGGATACCCACCCTCCGGTACATGCGTGTAGTGTGAAGCTGGAGGGCAGGGGCAGGGGTGGCTGCCGTATCAAGTAGCGCGATTACTTAGTACAGCAGATATCACATGTGATGGAGGCCAATTTTGGTCCCCTGGGCGCCCTGCAAGCCAACCGAATGAGTAGGGCCAAGACCCTGCGAGTGTTCGAGGATGGAGAGAGGGAGACCTGTTTTCCCACACTACAGTATCAAGCTACGGACGATGGAGCTCCTATGCTGGCACAGCTTGGCTGCCCCGAAGCTCGCCCAACAAGGCATCACCTTGAATCCCAGCCCAGGGCCAATCGATCGCATCTCGACTCCCTACACCCGACTCTTGGCGCCGAGGCTCTGGCCTTCTCTCTGCCCGCCCAGCCCGCCTTCTTAGCCGTGCAAATGGCATGGGACTACAGCCAAGAGAGGCATTAATCGAAGCAGCGAGAGCAGCACAAGAGAGTGGAGAGATTTTTTGATAATGAGCCAATGCGTTGATGAATCGTGTAAATAGTCAAAAGTAACGGTAATGCGTGGATGAAGGTAAAGCATGGCGCACCACAACGGGAAGGGGTGTGGGGGAAGTCGGAGCCAGGTGAGTCATGGAAAAGCACCGGGCGGTTTTCCATCAAAACTTCGCTGGAAGCTGCCCTGATTGCTTTCGCCAGCTATCTCTCCAAGAATTATTACCGCTTTCAATATTCCTGATACTCCTGAGACTTGGCAATCATGGAGACTCTCGACGCGATCCTCGCGAGATACGTTGCCGAAGGCGACGAAACCCGGGACAAGCTTCTCGGGGCAGCATTCGTCGTCGTTGATAGCAATAGTAAGCTCCAGACACCAGTCTAGTCCCATCCCTACCCCTTAACTGACAACTCACCCTCCTAGAAATCCTCTACGAAGGCTCAACTGGCCGCACCTCCATTCCAGCAAACAGCACCCCCTTCAACGCTTCCTCCCTCACCTGGGTCGCCTCGTCCAGCAAAATCATCACCGTCCCCGCCATCCTCACCCTCGTCGAACGCGGCCTCTTCTCTCTCGACTCCGACGTCCGACCCCTTGTCCCCGAGCTGGCCGGCCTAAATATCCTACGCGGTTTCAACCCCGCAAATGGCGCACCCATTCTCGAAGACAACGATACCGAAATCACACTGCGCTACCTACTCACGCACACAGCCGGGCTAGCCTACGACGTCGCCGACCCGGACTTAAAGAAGTGGTCGAAATCGATAGGCAGGACGGACACAAATCTACACCACACACTGGCGGGCTGGACGACACCATTAAAGTTTACCCCGGGCCAGGGCTGGCGGTATGGCACGTCGATCGACTGGGCGGCGCAGGTGGTCGAGCGCGTGACGGGCCAGACGATCGGCGTATACCTCGAGGAAAACATACTACGGCCGCTCGGCATGGCAGACACCACGTTCCACTCCACCTCCAAGCCTAATCTCGAGAAGGCAGGCTGTACGCTGCGCGACCGCAGGACGGGGTCGCTGCAGATGCGCCCGTTGCCGGTGCCTTTGGAACCGCCGGTCGAAAGTGCGGGCGCGGGATTGTGGACGACGGGGCGGGACCACGCGCGGATGTTACGAGCGTTGCTTTCCATTTCTGAGGGGCAAGAAGAAGGCGGGATCTTGAAAAAGGAGACGGTCGACGAGATGTTCCGTCCGCAGCTGAACGACATGCAGCGGACGTCGCTGCAGGATACGGTAAACCGTCGGCACAATGGAATGATTCCGGAGTTTCCGCCTGGAACGATGGTACAACATGGGATCGGAGGTATTATCAATGTAGAGGACGTACCGGGGAAGAGGAGAGCGGGGAGTATGCAGTGGATGGGCATGGCGAATTGTCACTGGGTGAGTTGCTATGCGCGCTGTCATTGGGACAAGAGACTGACTGGCTGACAACGGGGCGGACAGTGGATCGATCGAGCGACGGGCATTGCGGCGACGCTGATTGTAAATGTTTACCCGTTTCCGGATGCTGTTGTTATTAAGCTGTACGACGAACTTGAAAGAGCTGTATATGGGGAGTTGTTGGCGGAGCTGCGGAAGTAGATGAGCGGAAGGCGTGGCGTTCTTTGAATGAACATGATATTATGACTAAGTACGACTTAACGTAAGTTAATTCCCGGTCACCCTGGCCATCACAAAATACCATACTAAATGCGATTTTTAAGTCTCAATATATCAATAACGAGAAGATATTTCTTTTTGATTTTCGGTATGGTATGATTCTTCAGCTTTCTAAACATCATAGCATAAGCAAAACTATTAATTACTGCTGATACCAAAATTACGCTGCCAACGAGCAATAGATACATCTATCAACATTGTTATGCCCTAAAACACTTCTCGACCTAATAGAAATATTTTGCATGATATATTAGATGCTAACATATTGTTAAGCTATAAAGTGAGCCGTAAGTGTTGAACAATGAAGTTGAGAAATTCTGTATTTAGTAAGGTGTTTTGCGATGGCCAGGTTGACTGGGAATTCCGTTATATGACTTAGTCATGAGAGGGAATGAACAAAGAGACTTACCTCAGTTTCCTCAGACCATATCACATGATCCAATAATTCTGCCGGATTTTTGGCACGCTAAACCTAATCGGATTGCTTGCTGCCATATGGTCTGAGCGCTGAACGCGTCTGCTACATACTATGTCGCGGCAATTTTTGTCAACATCCCTATTTCACCTCGGGTACGCCTTCATATGCTAGGTATTGGCGTATCTCATGGTTGTTATTTGTTTTCTCTCATAGAATCCACGAAAAATCGACCGCTATGTCTCGAAAACGCGCGTGTCAATCACCTCCACCCGGGATGCGCACGCGAACTGTGCCGCAAGATCTGCCCAGCAACTACAAATATATTCCTGGATTGTCTGACCGACAGCGGGTAGATATGGTGCTACAGCAGCTGCATGAGCAGCATCGCTGGAGCCTCAAATCCTTTCATTACCACCTGGTAACGGCGCAGCCTGAAGAGAAACATTCCTGGTCAACTGAGTGCCGAGTACGGAAGCTATTTGAAGCCATATATGAGCAAGAGGAGGTGATGGCTGAATTGCACAAGATCCCTGAGAATGCTGAGTCATTAAGGCACTCAAATCTGGTCAAGCTCATCCGAAAAGAGCTTGCCCAGTTTGACAAACCCAAAGTTGGGCTTGGTCAATTCGCCACAGACGAGACCGTCGATCAACTGCATATGCCCGAGATGGCCGCGCGTGTGCGATCCACTGCTCCAAACTTATGGGCTTTCCTTGTCTGTATTATGACGCAACAGCGTCCAAGTGCTCGTGATACATCTCAGGAGTATCAGGGCAGTATCTTTATGATTTGCATGATGTTGGCTTCTGCCTTTGCTCCCCGGACCTGTAATAAATTCCTAGTCCTACTTGGTCTCAATTTACACTCCATGGGTGTAAAGCGGCGTACGATCAATCTGCTTCATGGCTCGGGGGTTACTCCTCATTACACAACTGTCATGAGTCGACGCAGTGAATTAGTTCACTTAGGGAAGGTTGTCCAATAATTCACCGTTTTGCCCTTATGACCTGGCTCTTCGTAGCTAATAGTACAACAGAGACAACTCATGGAAGCTGCTCAGTCTTCTCATGGCAATTTTGTTATATGTTGGGACAATTTCGACTACAATCAAAATGTCCGTCATCAAACTCTTCGGGACCACTCTCAACATATCTCTGCTACCACTGGCAAGCTCTGTATTGGTCAATTCATCCCAGCTGGAGGGTTACGAAGATCAATGCTCCATCCGGAAATCCCACTCCACCCTCGTGATATTTATGACGCTCCAGGCCCAGATGATCAAGATGGTGCACTCAAACAATGTCAACTTCACTTTATTGCAGAGGCAATTCGTGAAGCCCATCGTGAGGCAGTGGAGGCGCTTTTTATGGATCAGAAGCCCCCAAAAACTGGGTCAACGAAGTCCCGAACTCAACTAGTTGATTGGCCCGAGTTCCCAGCAGTTGAGCGTCTTCCTCCTCGGAAAACTCCCAATTACGGTCTCGGTCCTATTACGGAGAATGAAGGAACTATCGACGGCACATACGCAGTTATTCGGAACGTCTTTATTAATCAGCTTGGATACAATCCAGATACGGACTTTGACGGTCCATTGCGGCTCGCATATGGGGATCAAAAGACTGTCTCCTTGATTCAAGTTGTCAAGAAGGAGCAGGCGGAAGCCACAATACCATATGATCGATGCAAATGGCTGCTCCCTATCCCAGGTCTCTTCCATTGGCGGACCAACTTCATGGACATGATCCACGAACTCTATTCCGGCACGGAGGTAGCAGCAGATGAAACAACCCTGTACCACAACAAGAACTTTCTGGGCTGTGTGCAGGGCCACAAAAGTCCATTTCACCATAAGGAGGAAGTGGCTACGCGTGCTTTTGATGCCCGTGTGACCGCCAAATTCTACATGCTGCTGAGATCTTTTGCAAAGGAGAAGGATAAAGACAGTCAGCTATCAATTGACGAGGAGATCAATGACTACATCAAGAATATGACACGAACATCCTTTCGCCACATCGTTGAGAAGATCCAAGATGAGTTGTTCACTGTGGCGGAGCAGCAGTCTGACAATACGGCAATATTGTTCCCAGATTGTCACATCGACTTCGCATTCTCCACACATGCCAAAGTTCTTCAGCAGATCGCCATCTATAAGATATTGAAGAAAGCCATCAAATATGCTGAGATTGGGATTCTTCGGCGGATATTTGCACAGTGTTGTCTCCTTTTCCACGGCTCCAAGAAGTCCAAATATGCCTTTCTCTCTTTGTACATGACATGGCTCACACAGACCCCAGCTGCAAGTCCAGAGCTCCAAAAGGCTGTCCTGGCCAATGGTCTGGTCAATATTCGGGCCGCCGAGGATTCATGGTTTGAGATAGATCGGCTCAATGAATTCCTCAACCTACAGATGAAGACCCTGATGGCCACACGACGCACCTCCACCCTTGAAGTCACGCCCATGTTCCAACAAATGGCATTGACAGCCAGTTATTGCACGGAATTGAAGGCGAGGCTAGAGGCAGCATTTGGCGAGTATAGCAATGGAAGGCACCAGATAAAGGATGCCAGTATGGATGTCCGCAATCTTGCACATGAGATTTCCCGATCAGGTTCTATCCAGAAGCATGCAAATGGTCGAGATTCCCAGTTTAAACCTATTGATATCCTGTCTCGGGGAATGGGTGATGCATTATCTGACGGGGTTGACAAGTTCAGCCAGCAGATGGTATATGGAGGATGGCAAGGAGTCGAGGATCTGGAACACCTTACTTCAACGCCTATTGCTGTCCTTGATGACTTTGTGACCTTGGGAGAGGATGAAGACGAAATCTGACACATCACCTCTTCTTGATCATCCTTTCAGGGCGTCTCGGTGCACGTGCATTGCCTGATATCTCGCTCAGCGCCCTGCGTTTAGGGACCGGAGTTTCGGACAAATGTGACATTTCCATCTGATCAGGGGATGGCATGTGGATATCAATCCATGGAGAAGCAGAGATAATATCAAGTGTCGGTTGGCTGATACTGTCTGGTGTAGGTGCAGAAGACCATACGAAGCTACTGCATTCGCTGAATTGGCCAGGAGCATCCAAACCATGTTTCCTCTTTGTCGGCGTTTGAGTTCGGACTGTCCAGGTTATGTGGTAAGCATCTCTGTATCCACAATATGGAAGTATTGACGTGATACACAAACCTAGCTGTTCGGCATGTGTTTGAGAACCTCCCTCACGATTGTAATATGCCTTCCACAGTTCTTCATATAGACTTTGACCGAGCTGATCGTACCAGTCCCATGATCCAAGTCTGCCGAGGAGGTCTTCCTTCGTCAATATCTGATGGGCATATTGCGCCAGTTCAATGCGCTGCTTTGTGGCCAAGATACAGCTGGGATTTGGCATGTTCTTTTCCTTACGTCGAAGGTCATGACATTTGGACCATGCCCACTTCTCCAAATCCTCCGCAATCAGTTTTCGCTTTCTGTTGCAAGAGGGCCCTGTTTCATGGTATAGATAATATTGATCAAAGTCTTCCATGGCCAAGTCTGGATTGCAATGACTGCAAGATCGCTCCTTCCGAGTTAGATTATCGCCGTCATTAGGTTCCTCAAAGAAATCTAAGAACTGTTTTCGTATACACAAGCGATCATTGATGATATTGTACCAGAAAGCTGGCAATCTCTCTCGGCGTTCCTTGTCAGAAAATCGGGTTGCTCTTCGTTCCTGCTCAAGCGTTTCTTCAACAAGGTCTCCATTGGGCTCTTCACCAACATATTCGGCAATGGTCTCCTGTCGTAATCCGAGGCCCTTAGTCTGGCGTTCATACTTCTGAGCAGCGGCTTCATCACGGGGACCGAATGCCCATTCATCCACCAACAGGATGATCTCCCCATCCTGGCCATCTCGACTTCCTCGACCACCGCGTTGCCAAGGAACTGCTGGATGGTATCCTGCAGGGATCCCATATTGGACCACTCGCCGAATATCGGGTATATTTACCCCAATCCCTAGTGCTTCTGTTGCAAAGATAACCCGGACTGATGATTCCACAGCCAATTGCCGAAACTCTGCAATAATTGCTTCCTTGTCATACTGTGCCGTGGTGCGATGAAAGACACGAATGGTGCACTGAATCTGCCGAGGGGTGTATCGGTGCTTATCACTCTTCTCCAGCCATTCGCGACATTTCTCAAGTGCCAAATATGTTTCCTTCTTGGTGTCAAAGAACACAACTGTCTTGAGGATATTTAAATGAGCACTCTCGCGAGAAGCACGAACCACCTCTCCCTCCTTGAACAGGAAACGTAGGGCAGTGAAAGCTCGGCGTTTTTTCTTTGGTATCCTGCCCAATCGGAGAACTAACTCTGACCGGTTGATAGAGGTTCGTTGAACTTTCACATCGGGTAGGAACCCACATCCTTGCTTCACGGTCTCCAAGGTAGCTTCATCCAACGTTGCTGAGCATGCAAACCAAGGAACGTTCTTTCCCAACAACGCGCGCAACTGCTGCATTCGTGCATAGTCTTTCCGGAAAGCGCGGCCCCAATGCGCAACCAAATGTGCCTCATCAACTGCAACAAGACGGAGACGTTCACGGAACTGTGGATGGCAGGCCACCGCGCGAAATTTATCCCCAATTGCAAGTTCAGGACTAAGCAGAACATGGGTATACTTGGCCTCCTTGACTTCTTCGAGTAGCTCTGCGGAAGTGGTATCAGCATTGAGGAAACAGGGTCTGCCACCAAGATTTCTGATATATTCAGTTTGCTCAATACCAATCTGATTTAGTGGAAGCACGACGAGTGTGATTGCCTTCTCGAGGAGAAGAGAAACTGCTTGTAAGAGCATACTCTTTCCAAATGATGTCTTTGCTATAAGAATCATATCTTTGCGGAGAAAGACAAGGTGATGGAGTGCTTCCCTCTGACCATTCCGAGGGGGAAAGGTATAGAGGCTTTTTATTGCGGCAATGATGGCAGCATGCTGTTCTTTCTCCTCTCTCTCTTGGGCATTGAGGATGATCTCTCGTGCCTTAACCAGTGATGATGACAATTGAGCTGCGCTGTTTGAACTTAACCATTTATCCAAGGTTGTTTGCGCATTGCCTAGTGCTCTAGCACTGGACGGGTTCCGTGGACTAGGACGCCGTTTGGAGGAAGGAGTAATTCGGACTTTTCGACGGGCCATTGGTGGAAAAGCCAATGGTTACGCTTAATGTTTCACTTTCCACTTAACTAAGCCCTAGGCCAGAGGTTAGCATGATTAGGGCCGGAAATGCGCAAGGGGACCCATTGGGTTGTCCGTTGACAACAAAGAGCCGGTGAAGTTAGGTACCATTATTGTACCTTGATTTTGTGAATTTGGGAATAATTTTAATACCAGAGATAGCGCTCCTCAGTATCTAGAGGACATCGTCGCCCGATATTTGATATATTCGTTGGTTGCTGAGAAAAGAGCAGAAAAGTGGATTTTTTCGCGTCAAATCGCCGCGAGATTTTCCACACTCCCTAATAAATGATCTTAGGCGTTAGGTACCGTAATTTTACCTTAATTCTGTGGAATTGGGAACATGTCTTATACCAACGGATAGCGCTTCTCAATTTCTAGAGGACATCGTCGCCCAAATTTTGATAATTGCGTTTGTTGTTGAGAAAACGTGGAATATGTGGATTTTCTTGGATCGAAAATACCGCGACTTAGTATGTGCGCCATAACATTCAGCGCTCAGACGTTCCACCAAAAAGATGTGTCAGCATCGCTGAAGACAGCAGGCGGTGGACTTGGCAGTCCACCGCCTTTTTGAGTGGGGCGGCTGAGGGAACTGAGGTAAAAAGAGACAAGGGAATTAGCCGAAAAGGGAAAATCATCGATGAGGTGGAAGCTCTAGTCATCGCTCCCAACATATGTCTGGTAGATATTTATATACCCATACCTCATCATTCCTTGCCGTGTTCCAGGTGGATAATAATCTGTCGAGTCCGTCAGCATAATATTGGTGAATTACTGGCGCAAGAATATCTCCTCTATCTCAAGCTAAATTGTTCGTCTAATATGTTCTAGCATGGAAGGCTTCGCTCCAAACAGACCACATTAGGTCTCATTCGGCACGATCAAGCACCCAAGGGGCCTACATAGATAGCCCCGCCACAAGGCGAGATCAAAGTAGCCCTTTGTGTGTGTCTTGGTGGGGAAGTGCGCCACTCGCTTATCGCTTATGTTAGACCTTGAAAGCGACATCTGAAAAGTCCTTGCTTTGAGCTTTCTCACAAACAAACATTGCTGACATCCCAGTCTCTTTAACCTAAATCCTTTACGTAGTCCCTCCCGTACCAGCTGTGTCAACCCACTCACTGACCTGCAGCTCCCGCCAGTGATACTGGTCTTCCGCCCACGGCGATCTTTTCGACCGATCTCTGCATATTTCGACGATCTCGTGTACAGTCTCTCTCGCCGCTTCCCACATACCCTCCTTCAACTGTATACGCAGGGCTCTCAAAGTCTCGATATCCTGTATAAGCGTAATTTCGGTCTTTTTCTGAATAAGTTGGGAAAGACTCTTATGCGCCTGAGACAAGTTTGTCGTTTCTATGCCTCTAAGAATCTCCCCTAGGTGGTCAATGTCCTCTTGCAACTGTCGATCTCGTATATCCCTCACTAGCAACTCGAAAGCGGCCGTTTCCTCGCGAATTGAGATCGTCGTATCCTCCAGCTTCCTTAGGCGAACGCGCTTCCGCCACTTGCCCAGTGGCGTATGTTGTTTTGCATCCGCAAGAAAAACATTGACACCCGACATCCTCGCGTCCTCTATAATCTTCAACCCCTCCAAATCCGCCGACGTGGCCAGCTCCCCAAGTATATTCGCACCGCTCTGATCCACAAAGGTTAACCTCGCGCCCCTCTCCAGCAAGATCCTCAACACGGCACTACTCCTCGCTCGCACTGCATACAACACCGCCGGCGCTCCCAACGCCTTGTCCTTCGTATCCACGTCTGCCCCCGCATCCAAAACCATCCTCAGCACACTCGTCACCAAAGGCACAGGGGTGCGCGCCCGCCATACAAGATAATGCAGTGGTGTGTACCCGTAGCTGCTGCGCGCGCACACGTCCCCTCCCTGCACCAACCGTGCTAGCACCTCCGCCGAGTCGGGGTGCGGATTCCAGGAGTCCCACGTGCGGAAGATGGCGTGCAGCGGGGTACGACCCACGTCGTTGGCAACGCGCACGGCGCAGCCTGCATTGAGGAGGGCGAGGGCGATACGGATGTGCCCGCCGACGAGGGCCGCGAGGAGCGCGGTCTGGCCGAGCGAGTCGCGGGCGTCTATTAACTTGGCGCCGGCGCCCGCGCCGGCGCGGAGGAGGAGCTGGACGGCGGGGAAGTTGTTGATGCGGCTGGCATGGATGAGGGGCGTGCGGCCGAGGAAGTCGCGCTGGTTGAGGTCGAAGGGTGGGGAGGAGGAGAGAAGGGAAGAGATGGAGGAACCGGACTTTATAGCTTGGTGGACGGGGGAGAAGGGTGTGCGCGGGCCATCGGGGGAGAGGGAGGCGATGATGAGGAGGGGCTCAAGTTCGGAGGCGGAGGAGACGCCGGATGGAAGGGATATCATCTCGCGGGCAACCATGATAGTGGATCTGAGTGGATGCATGTTTTATAAGCGGGTGGATGGAAACGAAATGTATAAAGGGAAAGGACACACCTATCGCACGATCTTTTTGACTCACGTAGCCCCCATGTGTCGATGAGAAACATTGCGGCCTTTGTGTTCTTTCTCGCTATTGCATCCTATCCAAAAACATGTAAGAGCTTATAATGATTCCAGACCCATCAGATCTGGCGCAGTCTTACCATCAGAAGCGACATCCCCGCCTCGTTCACATCCAACGGGGAATAAGACCCCGGTCTCATTGCCAACACCCTCTTCAAGTCTTTAGGTCCCCCAAAATTCACCGTTTCCCACGCCTCGTCATGGCTCGAAAATACCCTTGGCACACTGAAATGTAAGCCGGCTCCATAGCCAAAGCTGCCGCCCACTTCGATTGAGAGACAGAGGGCGCGTTTCAATACGCGTACCGGAAAGTAGTATGTCAGCTCAGCCCGCGAAGCAGCCCGCACACAGTTCGCCTGGTTGCATGGCCCCGCGCCGAGAAGGGGGATACAACTATAGCTGAGAAGGACACTGCCGAGCACGGGCTGGAGCCAGGAGGGGGTATGGAGGGCAGAGGAGAAATGGCAGCGGCAGGAGCAGGACTGCGGGCAAGCTGAGGAGGAATAGACAGAGGCTTGCATGGAGATGGTGGAGGGGTGCGGATCGCTGGGGTCTGCATCTATGTCTGTGAGGAGGCGTCCGAAGGTGAGGAGCTCGAAGAAGGGGTCTTCAGGGTACTGGGGAAACGGGGACGGTCCTGGGGAAGCCACGTTCGTGATAACTCTGGTATCGGAAACCGGCATCGCTGATGCCGGAGTCAAAATCCTCGAGGTCGTGATCAACCCCTCTAGGCGCTGAACTCCCGCATCCATTATACCCGGCATCGATGTCGTGAACGTGTGAATGTCGAGCAGAACCTTGCCATGCGTGCTTGGTTATAACTGTCAACCATGCCTGTCTCTCTGCCATGAAAACTGGGTACTAACTTCATCAACGCCAGACTTAAGTCCTGCATAGCCATCATCAGCGTCTGCCTCGCCGCCCTCGCTCTTTCCGTCATCTGCGCGATCTTGTTCCGATCCCAGACAAACCGGATCCTTCGCCGCTTCTTGTTATTATACCTCGCCACCAATTTTTGCAGCTCGTGAACCAACTCTGCGAGCGTGGTTCGCGCCGACTGCAGCATCTTCGGCTCCGAAACACGCAGGCGCGGATCGGTGCCTGAGAGTAGGTCGACCTGGCTTTTCAGGTGGTCCTGCAAAGCCTGAAGCGTGGTTAGCTCATTGGTGAGCGCTTTGATCTCATCGCCGATATGGATCAAGGCGCGGAGCGTGTCGATGATGCTGGGGATGGCGCCGATAGCTTGCAAAATAGCAATGACGCTGGCGCCGGCGCTGAGACCGTCCATGGGGCTAGGCGTGGCTTTTGCGAGCAGAGAGAAGGGGCTTTAGAAAGGCGAATATATTCGCAGGTGTAGGTGGAAACTTGCACTGCTGTCCGGCAGTTAAAGGATGAGCCATGATACTCATATACTCTGAGTAGAGGACTCGGAACTATTTTGGGCATCATTTCCATATCTCCTCCACACGGCATTCGTCTGATGTGTTCGATCATGCTTCGCATAATATCGTTGCAATAGGCTCATTTATAACTTTACCGCAGGCGTACGCCTAAAGTGAAGTGCGGTGATTGGGTTCCAGCTTCTCGACTCCACGCGTACGCCGGCGGTAAACGGATTTTGAAAATTCCGTCGATAAAGCACATACGCAAGCTGCGTGAATTTCTTCTTGGACGGGCTGATAAGTTATTCTCCAAATGGCGTCGGACTTCTTTGATTTGGCCACGGAGAATGCACTCCAGCAGTTTCTCGTTGAACATCCAAACAACCGCCGTATCTCGCTGGCAGAGAAAGAGAAAGTGATCGGTTGGCTGACGAATGCGGCACAGGCTTGCTCGCCAGACGAGTTTAGTAGACGAAACTATGCGCGAAAGACTTTCACCTGGGAAAAGGACACTCAACAGCTCTTTACTACCGCAAAGAACAAGGACGGTTGCGCTCGGCTTGTGGTGACGTGTGATCAGATCGTACAAACCGTTAGGTCAGTTCACCAAAACAATGGCCACGCCGGATGGGACGCCACATGGAGGGATGTCAAAGCGTCCTACTACGGCATTTTGCGCGCCGATGTCATCTTCCTCCTTAAGCGATGTCGCGTCTGTGCACACGACCCTCGGAAACGTCCGAAAGGGCAACCCTCCAGGTCGCCCGATCCGCAGTTCAATAGCGAGCTTACCGGCTATATCCTGAACCCCAACAACATTGCATTCGGATATGAAGGACAATCGGATACCGCGGGCTATTTCCCGAACCCCAACGACATTGCATTCGAGTATGAAGGACAATCAGATGCCGCGGTCTAAGGCGCAGTCTGGGTACCTATGGCAATTGATGTTTGACTGAAGTCAATACCGGCGACAAGGATGGATGGACATCATTTCAAGGAGTCTCATTGAATGACCACAGGCTGTGGCGAGATTTCTCATCGAGAATGGAGCCGACATTATTACCCATGACAAGGATGGACGGAGACCGCTTCACTGGGCATCAAGGAATGGCTGTGTGATATTAGCGAGGCTTGTTCCAGAAGGGAGCCGATGTCACCACCAGCGATCAATATAGATGGACACCGCTGCAACGGGCCTCATCGAATGGGCACGAAGCTGTGGCGACGCTTCTCATCCAAAATAGAATAGGCGTCAGCATCCGCGACAATGACCACTGTGGGCATCAAGAAGTGGACGTGAGTCGTTAGCGAGGCTTCTCATCCAGAATGGAGCCGATGTCAATACCAGCGACAAAGATGGATGGGCACTGCCTCAATGGGCTTTGACTATCGGCCACCAGGTGGTGGCGGGAGTTCATGGAGAATGGAGCTCAAGCGAGGGGGCAACCTATCAAGCAGACTTACTACCTCTTCCCCATCCTATCGTTTCAGCCTCCTGAGATACCCCCGCAGGGGTAGATGTTACGTTGGTTCCCTGACTGTCCTCATGATGAGGGGTCGCTACATAGCTCCAGTGTCCTTTTGCCCTACCTGTTTCCCGAAGAAGGAAAGCTTCTGGTCGATGACAAGGGAGGGGGGACCTGGAGACATTAACTGAATGTACTCTATTTCATGTGAAGTGGCGCCGCAAAAGTCTGCGACCACCCTTTGACCGCCAGTCTCTCCGCCTTCCTCTTATAGCCTGCTTAAAGTCGCGTAGTCATGTAGTCGGGTCGTGTCTTATACTTACTTTTCTAACTACCCAACGCCTCGCACACAACCTTTACCAGGGCCTCCAGTGCCTACAGGGCCTATTCTTACTGCTCGTAGGAATCCTATATCTCCTCCAAGGGCCCAGCCACGACGCAGGAACTGCGAATTAGACATCAATCTCCGAACTAGATTACTACATTAAAGGAGATCGCAAAGTGGTCCTACGGTCAAATCCACAGAAACTTTCCACATATAACTATCAAATATGAAGTCAACATGCCTCGGTCTCGAATATGGCATAAGGAGGAGACCCTTAAATGACCTGGGCGCTCAAAGATACCGCTCCGCACGAATTTTCGAACTGTTCGAAATTCGCGAATTTCGTCGAATCGAATCGAATTCGAACCTTGGTTTTTGGGCTTCGAATCTATGGGCGATTCGATCCGTCAAAATTCGCGAATTTCGAACAGGTTCGCGAACTATTATCTAGCTTTCTTAGGAAAACCAGGTTCTGAGATGAACTTTCGAGATGTCCGGTCTCTGCAGGAAGACCTCAGCAAATCAATCCATGGACGGAATCACGACTGCCCGTTTTAGATAGATTCACGCGTATTACATTAGGAACTGAATATTCCACTCCCACAATAGGGCTTATAAACCTTCTCTCTTACATGTCATTGGAATGCAGAATATCAACCGCATGTGCCAAAGAAACCATAACTATATAACTACTCAGACTTCCAATGTACAGCATCTTTCAGTCTTATTAGCGTCCCAAGAGTCTTGCCTTACATAGAGAAACGTCGAATTCCCAGTACATCTCTCCCACCATTGAATAATCTCTCGATATCTACCTCTGCTGCTGGTATAGCAAGATGATCTTGGGCTACCTTAGCCATACAAGTAAATTCAAGTCTGTTGGCCTTCCATCAGTTCAGTATAAATTCAGTCTGGCTCTGGCTTCTTTCGAAACCAGTGCTGATTGTAGGAGTATCAAAATACTGGTCGATATCAGATTCAGCGACGTTATACTGTGTAGGCTGAAAGGCTTCCAGAAATCGATATTCGAAGCTCTTCCAATTAGTGCTTAGAGTAGTCGATACAGGCTGTTTTGGGGTGGGATATGCTTTCTTCAGGAACGCCCTGATTCGGCCAATAATCTTCTCTCCATCTGGTAGCGTTTTGAGCCACTTGGTCTTGATTCGAGGGTCCAGAACGCTTGCGATATAGTATATATCGTTGTCTTTGGCGCAGTCGTGGTACTGCTCCAGGAGTGAGATTCCATCGGAAATAAGAATAGTTATTGCTGGCGAGACCTTCTGCCACTCGCCTCGTCGTTCCTTGATAGCGAAGAGTATAGAATGGAGCTCTTCAAACATACGCGCCGCCATATGAATTGAAGGGCTATCTCGGGAGACGTACTCAGTATATTCGTTGAAGGGAGCCAGGATTTTCTTGATATCTGAGAGCTGTCTCCAGTCGTTCGGTGTGAGACGTAAGGCTTCAATGTCTGGTTCATCGTTGACTGTATCTTCGAGCTGCCGGCGGCACTCTTCAGCTCTCTCAATCATAACAAAGGTAGAGTTCCATCGAGTATCAACATCGTAGTTGATAGCTTTTGTACATCCAGGTCGATTATCCCACCTCTGTATTCGCTGAGGAGATCGCGCAATCCAAAGGACAAGTAGTCGAAGCTTTGCAATAGGTGAAGTAGGAGCATTGATCATCTTCCAGCTCCTCTTAGCAACATCATCAAGAAGATCACAGGCTTCCTTATGCGAGCTGGCGCGTAGAGACCTCAATATAGTTTTCATAACCAAATTCAAGATATGAGCAAAGCAGCGGATTTGGGGGTTCTGGGTAAACTTCATCCTCCCTTCTCGGATGATGGTCTCGGCCAGGTACTTATCATACCGCTGAGACAGCCTTCGGTAAAGGCATCGGTGTAGGGTGTCATTATTAGATGCGTTGTCGGCTGTAATCGTCATAACTTTATCAGATATATGAAACCTCTCAAGAACCGTCGCGACGATATCAGCAAGGTTCTCTCCAGAGTGGTTGCCTTCGATTTCAACAAACTCAATACAAGCTCGATATTGCTGAAAAGTAGAGGTCATCCAGTGAGCACTAATTGCCAGCATTGGCAACGAATTCTGACTTGTCCAGCCATCAAGAGATAGCGCGATTGACGAAGCTGAAGACATCAAGACTAGAAGCTCATTGTCAAGAGCATCAAGCCGAAGATATAATCGGCGTGAAACAGTATCCGCACTTAGTACGGAGTCCTGAAAGCCTGCAGACCTCAGCATTGCCTTAAATGAAGGTTGTTCGACGCATGTAAACGGCTGGCAGGTCGATACAATCCAATTCAGGGCAGCTTCTTCGAATGGGAGCTTCTTTTCCTTAGAAATCCATGAGCTTAATGGTCCTTGGCACTCTGGATGACCGTCCTGAAAGAGCCTGTGTGTTCGCTGCAGGTGCTGTCTCAACGCCGTGGTTGAAGATCGCAGTTTAGATGCAAATCGAAAGAATCGACAGCTAGATGGCGATACAATACACTGGTGTTTAAGCTCGAGCCGCTCCTTATTTCCTAGTCTCCAGGTACCAGATTCAGGTGTTGTACGGTAGTGTTTCCATACCCAGCTCCGCTCTTTCGACCCACTCTCATCTTTCTGCTTGATTTTAACCCTCTCAACCTCGTATTCGATCTGAGAGATTGATTGGGATGGGCATATGTCCGTATCAAGGTTCGATAAACTTCTAGAAACATCGCTGGGAGCCCTAGGGGACGTTGAAATCGGAGGAGTCGGTGACTTAGAGGCGGGCTGGACCGCTCTCTTCTTTCGAGGGGGCGGGGGTGATACATCCTCTGCAAGGAGGCCGTATTTATTAAGCACCGCATAATCGCGTTTATTCTTCCTAGTATTAGGACAATCGAATGTTGTAGCAAAGTCGAGAAGTCATCTAACGTTACATTAGTATATCAAGCTTGTGTCTTGCTTGATTGCTTACTCTGGAGCACCCAGAAGTGGTGGTTTTTGATAGCTTTTTTAACCTCGATTCGAATGTTGTTCTGATTGAAAGCACGTACGCGCGGAGACGCGTTCTTGTGGAATCTCCGCTAACCCGATTAGACGATCCATTTACTCTACATTGAATAAAATATGCAACTACAGTCAACTCTCGCTTATACCACAGCATACTATCCAAGCCAAATTACGTGGTATAATTGAGTTGTGTTTTGCTGAGAGGATGACATAATATTTGACAAGCTAACTCTAAGCCCTAATACCTATTTAGTCTTCCATCCCATCATCTGATCCAAAGTCACCTGACGTTTCTCATCAATCTGAATCCTGCCAAAGTCGCTGATTAAGCTCTCAATTTGTCTAATATGGTCCGAGGTACCCTTTTCTTTGCTACAAACCATAGTAGGATATCCTGGAGGCTGTCCAATATAGCAGAATTAGACAGAAGCTCAGGTGGGGGCCCATCAATGTCAATATCCTGAATTTCTGAGGTTGTTGGGGCAATATATATATCTTGCTCATTGGTCTCATCTCGCCCTTCAGTCCCATCTTCTAACATGTCTTCGTCCGAAGGGTTCAAAAACTCGTCAAATGGCACAATATCTTTATCACCAAGCTTATCAATTGCTTGATTATATAGACTTTCAATCTCATCACTCAATCCGGGCTCGGAAAATAGTGCAGACTCAGGTGCGGACTCGGGCGCGGACTCAGGTATAGGTATAGACTTTGGACTAATCAAAGTACTTTGTTTAAAGCAATTGATAATCGTTTGGTCTGATACACTTGTTCTCCAAACTTGCGTTACCCAGGTAACAGTATAATAAATGCTCATTCTTTGTTTTGGGTCTATCCCACGATCAAGAAAAGCAATCATATAGCGCATCCATTTCTTCCGATAATGGTGCTTCAAGTTTTGGATAATACCTTGGTCCAAGGGTTGATAAATTGAAGTTGCGTTTGCTGGCAAAAAAACAACCGTAATCCGGGGTGGTGGTGGCGCTCGCTGGAGTCCAATAACATGTGGTGAAGCATTGTCTAAAAGGAGCAAAGCTTTCTTATCTAAGGGAATACGCCCATAGAAAGATCGCAACCAGTCCTCCATAATGTCATGACGCATCCATGCTGCCTTGTTGTGACGCCAAACACATCCCAGAGCTCGGAAATTAACCCCCGGAGTGCGCGAGGGGTTTTTGCTGTGCCAATCAACCATAAAGGGACTCGATCGGAACCATCCGCATTTGATGCAACAACAATAGTGATTCGTGTTTTATCAAGCTTTTTGCCAGCAATTTTTCCCTTTGAAAGACCACCATTTGGCATACGTCGCCAAAATAGGCCAGTTTCATCCATATTGTAGATTTCGGACGGTTTGAATTGATTGCAAATCGATTTGGTGCTTTTGATCTGATCATGTACCGAGGATGGGACTGAGGCAGCTTCTCCGTGGAAAGTATGATATTGAAGAGAGTGGCGTTGTTTGAAGCGAGTTAACCAACCCTCAGAGAATTGAGGTTTGGTCCGATCTTTGTATTCCGGTATTTGTCTCCAAAGCTCAGCTGCTTTAGTTTGGATCAAAGGGCCATTTATTGGTATTCCATTGCCAATATGGTTATCTGCCCAGTCATATAGCTTTTGGTCCAATAATGGCCAATGAGAGGATGAAGATCGTTTGTTTGCCCCTGCAGGGCCCGTATCAAGATAATTGTATTTGGATGAAAGGATCCTTGATATGGTTGACCGGTCAATCACTTGTTTGAATTGGTCCTCAAACCACTTAGCACATGCAGTCTGCGTGGGCTTTGGGCTAGTATTAGACCAAAATGCCCGTAGTGCCTGTTTCTGCGCGTCTGATATACCCAATTTGGTACGCTTTGGTCCCATTCTGACGCGCTTGGGTGGGGTCGGGAGGGTAGGAGAGCTTGTAGATTGAGGCATTCTGATTGGTTGATTGCGCTGACTAAGCAGATTTGAGAGGAAGAAAGTGTGGTAAAACAAAATGTGTTATATTCTGTCAATTTATATGGAAAAAACTGGAATGAAGGGGCCATCCAAGCAAGGGATGTGTTATTATCAAGAATGTGCAATATCCCACCGTGGTATAAGCGAGAGTTGACTGTAGTCCATGTATTTTGTCAACAATCCAGGGTCACGTTGAAATCAAACCGTGCACAGCAAATGGCAAGACTTCGTTTTCGATACGATTTGTTGAAGGGAGGGTCAACTCAGCAACTCGGGTGGGCAAGCAGCGATGATTCAGGTATTCTAGGTTTCTGTGCGAGTTTTGCTGACTTTCCTACCTTTTGTTTCGTCCGTGTTATTTCAAGGGGCCACTCCTTCCTCTATACACACTAGGTCTCACTTACTAGTGATCGATTTTCGTACTCAGACATTGCGCTCGACAGTGGGGTTGGTGCCTCCTACTTTCGCCTCATTTTCGGCACAGAAATCTCGATTCATCTTAGTGTGGGCGACAGTTCACAGATGATACAACAAACTACGGCAACATCCTCGCAAACAGAAGCATGTGACACGGATATGATATTCCCAAGCGACAAACTACTTTTCTACGGCGACAGAAGCGAACAAAAAGACCTGATCGATCTCATACCCACCGAACAGCCTGGCATGGAATTCCACCAGCATGAAAAGTGCGACTCTATCTCTCATGGCTTGACACACCCATTGCACATCAGCCAAACCAGAGACCATGGTCATCTTTGTCCACAAATGAGTTGCTCAATTCCAGGTTCCAGCCATTGCGGATGGCGGCCTGTGGTCTGTTGGTTTCGATACCAGCCTATCTGGGAGCCATCGAACTCACCCTTGGAGGCTTCCCCTGGCCATTTTGACCTTGTGGCTAATTTGTTCGGAACCTGCCCCTTCCCAGCCCCACAGAATACCGATGATCCGTGGATAGAGCGGCTGGGAAGGCAGCACATTGGACAAGATACGCAGGTTGCAGAGGCCTGTCAAGTCTTCCGACAATCCCCCAATCCCATCCGCACGCAAGATCCCTCCGATTTCGGTGTCGGAGATTCACAAGCCAGCACCCCACGGCAACAGTTCAATTGCAGGCTTTCGGGATGCAAGCGCCAATTCAAACGTCAAAAGACCTTGAACCGCCACCTGGCAAGCCATTCAGGAGCGAGACCTCATGTCTGCTGGGTCCCTGGGTGCCAACGCAGTTTCTCGCGGCGCGACAACCTCAATGACCACTATAAAACACACGGTAAACGTGGGGGCCGCAATCGGTATGTGGCTACCCTAGACAAGACAAGCACCGTCTATAACCCTGAGTTCTGTGGGCAGCTAACGCCTGAAGGCTGGCCACTTGACTATGCTCGCCATGACTGATCTGGTGCTTGAGTTGTACAGTGGCACCAGATTTCCACTGTTCTTCCACTTTCTGTTACCAAAGATGAGAAGCAATGGTATAGGCTTCACTGCAGTTGCACATTGTCTCTTTCCTCTTGGCCTACTCGCTTTTGTGCTGTGAAGCTATGTTTCACTCAACCACAGGCCTATTACGTTTCATTGGATTTTCTAGAAATCGATTCGATATGTGTAACCTTCAGATTAGAAAACGCAATACGAGAAGTCCTTACTGAAATGGAAGTTGTATCATATTCGCACCCTTGGCGGAGCTCTCTATTCTCTGACTGGAGTTGCAGAGCTTTGATCATCGAATCCATGACAACGAGGACTACACCGCGGAGCGATGCGAGGAATTAGAAACCAACTACTGGAAGTCACTCATGTACAACAACCCGATGTACGGTGCCGACATGCCTGGTTCGCTCTTCGAGGATAGTACGACCTCTTGGAACGTTGCCAAGTTGCCCAATCTGCTCGACGTTCTTGGCCAAAAAGTGCCTGGGGTCAACACTGCTTACCTCTACCTGGGCATGTGGAAGGCCACATTTGCTTGGCATCTCGAGGATGTGGATCTCTACAGTATCAACTACATCCACTTTGGTGTTCCAAAGCAATGGTACAGCATTTCCCAGGAAGATGCACCTCGCTTTGAGCAGGCAATGCGCAGTATTTGGTCCAGTGATGCAAAGAACTGTGATCAATCCCTTCACCACAAGACCTATCTCGTCTCGCCTAGCCTTCTCAAGTCCCAGTACGGCATCACTGTCAACCGGTTGGTCCACTATGAAGGGGAGTTTGTCATCACCTCCCTTTACGGCTACCACTCTGGATACAACATCGGATACAACATCGACAATTGCGCCGAGTCGGTCAACTTTGCGACTGAGCGGTGGTTAGACTATGCTCGCATCGCCAAGAAATGCAACTGCGAGTCAGACAGTGTCTGGATCGACGTGGATGAGATTGAGCGCAAACTGCGTGGCGAGAGCACCCCTGAATACCACGCTGAATACGAGAGCGAGTTCGATGGGTTCGAAGCTGCTTCCGATATTCTCACGCCGCCTCGCAGTGTTCCTGAGAATCCCTCCCGTGGCCGAAAGCGGAAGAACCCGGATGACGGGCCGAGGACCAAACGATCCAAACCCCACACCGATGCCGCGGAAGCTCCCATGTCTGCTGTGCCCTAACAATCTGGACTATGAGGATCTGCTGCCGACCGAGGATGGCAAAGGCCACGCACACCGACGGTGCGCGTTGTTCGTCGAGGAGACTACAATCCTTCACGATGCGTCCGGCACGGAGGTTGTGTGTGATATTGACAAGATCCCCAAGGCTCGCTTGGGTCTGAAGTGTCTCTTTTGCCGCGAAGTCTTCGGCGCTTGCTTCCAGTGCAATTTCGGCAAATGCACACGCGCCTATCATGCCACCTGTACCCTGTTGGCAGGCGTGCAGATTGAATCCGGTGCGATTGCGGTCATTGCCAACGATGGCAGTCAATACTCAGTTCCCAGTGTTGATTTAAATGCAAATTCCATCGCCAGAAGCGACCGAACGGAGTCCTGTGAGAATCCTCGGATTTGGATCGCCATGTGATTGAAGAGGCCCGTCATCAGTCGCAAGGGAATTTGGTCCAGTTTCAGGTTGACAAGGAAATTAATGGCGCCATTGTGCTTGAAAATCGACCCGAAGAGCGGAGTCTGTTGCTCAAAGTACTTCCCCGAGGGTGAGTCACCTATTCCCCGAGCCCTCCAGGACTGAAGGTCTTCATTTTCCATATTCTCCCAATGCTAACAACCCTGCAGCGATGTGATTGAAATGCCTTACCGGTGGATGCTGGTGGTTCGCAAGTCTAATTTCGTACCGCTCGCACTGGGAATCAAACCCCTCCGGTCCACCTAGCGCGCAAGCCCGAACGAAAAGAGTTAGAGTCAGCAGTGCCCGCGGCAGGCAGTGCACGATCTCCCTATCAGTGGGCCGAATTCGAGACGGTGGATGCGACTAGGAACTATTTCGCCCCACTCCGGCCGGTGAGAGTTGAGCAGGTGTGGCATTACTTGGGCACCAAGTCCACCGAGAGTAGGGTACAGTATACACACAACCCTAGTGTGCCCATCCACAACCCGCAGGCCAATTTCCTGGACAGCGTCAAGTCGCTTGGCGTGGCTGGTGTCAGCGCTCGTGCATCGAAAATCTCACCCCACCACCAGTTTCATTATGCTACCCCTGCCCCTCCCTACCAGCAAAATCTTTACGCCCAACAACAACGACTCTTGAATGTCACCCGTCCTTCCGCCTCCCTGCAGCACCTTGCTGCTGGAGCTCCTGCGATGCCGTCGGCCTTTCGACCACTACCCAATCAGTCTGCCCGCCATGCCCCCTACCCCTCGGTTGCCAAATCGCACGCTCAGCAACAGCATCACCTCCCATCCACCAATATCTTTGCCAATGTCCGGGAACTCATAGCTCGTCGCCGCCTCACTCAAATAACTGACCACGCCAATGTTTTTGCCGGATACGACATCATCAGTTCCGAATTGGTAGTTGAGACCCTGTTGGGTCCGATGGGCTCAATACCACCAGTCAATGGCCTGGAGAAGCTGGAACTAGCCATGGCACAGCAACGGGTACAGCCACGAGCCGCTGACGGAACCTTGCTGCCACCTCAGACCCTCAACATGCGGTCGGTAGAGGTCACTCGGCTCCTTCAGATGTTGCGGTTCTCGCTGGTGAGTCACCGTGAGCGACTGGATGTGATTCAAAAGAAAGAGTCAGAAAACATCAAGCAAGAGACCGTGGATCGAGGTAGCGTGGCGGCAGCGAAGATGCCCGGAAAATATGCCTACCTCGACCAGCAACAATCCACCGCTCCGAATGTCTACCAATCTCCATATAACATGCCGTCCGGTCTCTCCGAATATGCCAAGTCTACATACGGGTTGATTCCTGCGGCTGATGAATCGCCCAAGGAGTCCCTGGCGAATGACTTTTTCAATAGTCTGCCACAGGAGGCCCAGGAAAAAATCCTAAAGAACTGTGGTAGCTTTGTGCAGCGTGCAATCGAGCGGTCGGCCAGTCACAGCCGGCATAGTTCAGCCTCGAATCTCCGGCTGTCGGCGGCTTCGGCTCAACAAACGGAAAATCTGATTATTGACATCACCCCGGTGGAGGATCCCCCTCTACTTTCAGGTCTCGACATGCCGCTCCACGCAGATTCCCCATGCTCCAGTTTCGGCCGGTCGCATCTCCGATTCCAGTCGCCAAATGAGTTCCCCATGCATGGACTCGACCCGCACTCTGATCACCACGATCTCTTCGGAGACCAACAAGCCAATGCACGCTTCTGGCAGAACGGGCCGTGGGTCGCCGGGGTTGGCAACACCCCCAATGACGAGAATCGACCGTTCTTTGGGCCACACATCTTCGGGCCACATGAACGACTCAAGCACGGCTATGCTTCCTCCGACATCTCCCTGGGCAAGGGGCCGGGATCCCTTCACTCCGTCGATATGGCTGGGTTCGGGCCGGATGGAGCTGATGATCTCCCACTCAGCCCATAGATGTCCCTCTCGTCACTGACTTTTTTTGACCCGCGTTTGCTTCCCACTGCGACTGTACTTGCATCTCCATGTAACGACTTCACTGAACTGACGACTGCATGAATGGGCGTTTTCTTGATTTTCCCCGACCTCAACGATTGTTACGGGTCATGTTTCTTTATGATTTGGAGTTCTCACTAGCTGGCTGGTCACGACTCAGCGTTCTCATTTCACACATTCTTTTTACACGCGAATCTGCTATCCAGCTACTGGGAGTGGTCACATAGACGGAGTTCGACTTGCACGGTTCTTTGTGACCGAAAAAACCCTCTCGGCCCTCCCCTTCAACATCCTGGGCCTACTTTCGCCCATCCCTCGTGTCTAGATATCTGAAACAGAAAAAAAAATTTCTTTTCTTCCCAGATTACTGGATCACGTTTGTGTTTTATCCCCTTTGATACCCCCTTACCCCTATGGAAGTGTGTGGATCTGGATCGAATCTTCGTGGATCTCCGGAAATGTGTTTTTTCCTTTCCCCTTCCCCTTCTATGTCGATATTCATCCTGGCGCTCATCGATTGCTCGCCTCTTACGAGTGTTTGCAGCATGTTCCTGATGTGGCAGCCGTCACCTTGTGTGACCTGATGTATGTGTGCAATGGAATATTAGCCCCCAGTGAGCTCGCACTGGGCAGCAGTCCTAGCCAGGCTGTTGGGACAATGGATTCATACCTTCTCGTGGTGTCCGGTGTTAATCCCCGTTGGGGAGACCAAAGTGAATCCGCCGTGGTTGTGCGGTCCGGCCCGGCGCGGTTGGCGAGAGGCACGACCGCACAACCACACCAAAATCAGGGGATAACGGCATATGAAAACCATCCGACTTCTTCTTACCCGACTCGCACTCGGGCCCAAAAGCTGGTCTTGCATTACCAGTGAAAGTGGTGTCGCCCTAGAAAGAAGACAGGACACCCCTGAGCTTGCATACGGTCTGAGTTCGCATCGTGTAAGATGCGGCGAGGCGGTAGTAAACCGATGACACAGGCAGTCAAGCTAATATCGGACAGACCTCGTTCAAGGCCCAGGAGACCTCGTTAAGTCTCGAACTCGTTAAGGCACGAAGATGCCGCCTCGGAAGACCTCGTTAAGGCCTAGCCATGGGCAACCTTTGATGCGGTTCCTCTTCTTGACACGGACACCACCGAGACACGGGCATCCTCCTGGGAGATATGCGCGCATTCTGAAAGGAATTGGTATTTGGCTGGTGGCAAACCATCGATCCTGCTCAGGTATCGGAGAACAAGCTTGGTTAGTGGAAAGTGGCCGACGTACACTGCCGGACGGAGCGTATATGAGGGCTTTCTGCAAGACACGGTCGGCCTGGCGGGGGGAGACCTCCCCAGGTAACGCGAAACGAGAGTGAAAGCTCTCGCGGGGCGTGGTGTACAATGGCAGCCACTGCGACAGGGTCGGGGCCTGTCAAGAGACTGTCTGTATGGCCCGAGAGGACGGATGCGCGTGTCGGTGTACAAACAGCCGGGAATCAACTACCTCACTCGCACTGAGGGCCTGAGATCAGGTTAGCCTGATTGGAGCGGTGTCGTCCTAGTTGATTTGTCCGTGATGTATTCTTAAGGAGCAAACTGAGAGACAACCAGGGTGAGAGGCTTTGTCTACCTCGAGAGTCCAGAAACCTCGTTTATTGGGTGAAAAACTGGAGTAGTGGTCTATGCAAGTAGGCCTGCCGAAGCTACTTTATGTCTTTTGGCCTCGTGCAAAGACAGATCGACAGCCAGGGAGGATCGATTGCTTTTGTGGATGATTTTACTGCATGGGTGACCGGGCCAACTGCGCAGAGTAACCGGGAAGGAATTGAAGCAATCATCAATAAGGCGCTCGACTGGGAAAGAAGAAGCGGAGCGACTTTTGAAGCTGAAAAGACAACTATCATACACTTTACTCCCCAAGACGCGTAAATCGGACCATGAGCCGTTTACTATCAAGGGACAGACGGTTGTACCCAAAGACCATGTCAAGATCCTAGGCGTCTTGATGGACACGGGACTCAAGTACAAGGAACATATCGCGAGGGCAGCATCCACGGGCCTGGAGGCCGCGATGGGGCTTCGGCGACTTCGGGGTCTATCCCCAGCAACAGCACGGCAGCTATTCACATCGACGGTGGTGCCGGTCGTGGACTATGCCTCCAATGTATGGATGCACGCGTGCAAGGATAAAGCCATCGGACCAATCAACCGCTTCCAAAGGGTAGGAGCGCAAGCGATTGTAGGGACATTCCTGACAGTTGCGACCAGTGTCGCAGAGGCGGAGGCCCACATTGCCACTGCTCAACACCGTTTCTGGAGACGAGCCGTGAAGATGTGGACGGACATGCACACCCTGCCAGAAACCAATCCTCTCCGCAGAAACACAGATCGGATCAGGAAGTTCAGAAGATACCACCGCTCGCCGTTGTTCCACGTAGCGGACGCGCTTAAGCACATCGACATGGAAACACTGGAAACGATTAATCCGTTTACGTTGGCCCCATAGGAGGAACGCGTGCGGACCGATACTGTTGACCGCAAGAGTCTCAGACCGATGCGGGCGGATACATGCAGATTGCGGTCAGCAGCTCGGCGCGTAATGAGTTAGTGGGATTTGGTGGAGCAATCGAAAAGCAGCCACCTCACTACCGGAAAATGAAACTGAAAGCCTTCTCGGTTACGCTGGGTGTCAGTAGAGCAGAACCCGTACTCGGCGGAGCTGGCAGCAATGGCATGCGTGTTACACATGCTACCAGGGGTGAAAGGATACAGAATCACGCTGCTCACGGGTAAAAAAGCAGCAGCACTCACGCTGAGGAATCCTCGTCAACAGTCGGGCCAGGGTCACGTCGACCAAATTTACAAGCTGACTAGAAGGCTAGGGAGAACCGCAAACCGGATCAACATTCGTTGGACCCCTACTAGTGAAGCGAACAAATTGTTGGGCCTAGCGAAAGAGCAGGCCAGGACCGCGACCCAAGCGGATGCTCTCCTCCAAGCACGAGTTTCTAGGATGAAGTCAACAAACCTGATCATCGCACAGTCACATGTAGCCACTGGGAAAGGCTTGCCAGAGAAAGTTGGGAAACACGTCAAACGAGTGGATGCAGCACTTCCAGGAAAACACACTCGACAGCTGTATGATCGCCTATCGTGGAAAGAAGCAAGCGTGCTGGCTCAACTCCGGACTGGCGTGGCAAGACTCGATGGATATCTCTATCGAATCAACGCGGCAGAGGCGGATCAGTGTGCATGTGAACAAGCGAAAGAGACCGTGGAGCACTTCCTTTTTCGATGTCGGAAGTGGACTGCGCACCGGACGGAACTGCTACAGTGTACCAACACCCACCGAGGAAACCTGCCCTTCTTCCTGGGAGGGAAATCGCCGTCTGATGATCAGAAGTGGACGCCAAACTTAAAAGCGGTACGGGACTCAATACGATTCGCCATCGCGGCGGGCCGACTCGAGGCCACTTAACCATGCCGACGAACATAAATCACCCCTTTTTCCGATCTAACTCACCAACTACCACGTGCTACAGATGGTAGACGCGCTTCAACTGCCGAAGATAGGATGTTGAACACTTGGAGAAGCGCCTTCAAGCCAGCCTACTAACAAAATTACTAACCCAGGAGGATCCGCTGCGACACTGCTTGCTTGAAATGACATATATGGCAAGGTTTTATGTATGGGCTCTAAGGAGACACAGTACTGTATATATTATGACATGTATAGTAGATCAGCGATAGTTGCCCTTTCGGCTTAGCCGCTGGGCGTTAATAGATCGTGTTGTGTATATACCAATAGCATCGGTCGCCAGAATTTCAACGTGTTTTAAGAAGAAATGAGGTGGCAGAAGATTCAACAGGCCAAGAGAAGGAAATCGGTGGCGTGGAAAAGAATAAAACAAAATAACCCGGAGTGCAGAGGAGATTTTGCATGCGGCTACAACATACAGCATATTCTAGGGGGGAACAGCATCATGGGAATTGTCCGCGGCCCCGGCACTCCCTAAAGTGAGACTTGTTAAAGTCCGGTATTGCCCATCTCTCCATCCACTCGCATTTTACAATATCCTGCGCAGTTGGCCGCTTTTCCGGCTCAAAAGACAGCATCGACCGCAACATATTCACAACAGCAGCCTTTTCTTTTAAGTCAAAACCTTGGATTCCAGCCTGTTGTCGCGGGAGTTGAATGTGCTTTTCAAAGCGGTCTTCCCAAGGCCTCACCTGTCGACCTTGATTTGGTTTTCCACTTTCATCGAAATATTTGTGGCGCGCCGCCCATTTCTCCCACCACCGTAAAGGTAAGTTCTCCCGAGTATCAATCTGCTCGGCTGTGATATCGTCCGGCGTGGCAAGTATGTCCTCAAATAAGGGGCGCTGGCCGAGTATTATCCAGATGGAACATGCGAGTGTCCAAATATCAGCTGAAAAAGAAAGACCACATTCTGACTCAAATCGGGCTTCAGGACATAGGGGCGTGCGAGTTATATCGGTACTCTGTAGAGGGTCTGTATGCCTCTCCAAAATCACTGAGCAGGACTCTAGATTCTGGAAGGGAGAATTCCTCTGAAGCTTTCCCAAGCCAGATAGGAGGGACGACGCTAGACGGAACACCAGACTCAAGGGGCTGACCATCAAAACGAATAACTGGTTCTGACACGGGCGAACCGTATTTTTCATATAACTCTTCGATTGAGAGCTGATCAAAATCGGCTGGGAGACATAAAAGAATATTGGCGATGTGAAGGTCTGATGTAGTTATTGTATAAGCATATGGTTGTAAAGCTATAAAGAATGGTGACTAACCTCCATGAACAACTCCTTTGCTGTGGATGTACTCAACGGCTAACAAAAGTTGCACAATGAGCGAGCGAGCGGTCATGGCCTGAAAGATGCGTTTGTATGACCCTTCCTTCGCACTAGAGACACTACACATTGCTAGGGTTGTCACATAGCAAGGGTGGGTGCCATTAGGGCCATGGAGGACGAATCTATCTTTGATAGTGGGTATCATTGTCCTCCCCGGGTGATCAAGTGGGGAAGAGTGGTTGAGATAATTGAGGACATCAACCTCACGGTCATTTGAATCCGCCATTCCAACTTTGACTGCCAGTATGTATTAGACTGGTAGTCCCGGCAGAGCCAAGTGGTTGAATAGGCTCCGTAGCCTAGCTTGTGGGCGACTCGGTATCGGGATTGAAGAATATCTCCTATCAGAATAGGATGATATCCACCAGGCTGGTACTTTTCAAGTCTCTCGACTTCTTCTATCGGTACATATTTGAAGGGGAGTGGACCAGAGTCAGCACTGGACGAGAAGTTCTTGAAAGCCATAAATGACTTGCATGCGAGTCCACCAACAGAAATTTTCCAAGAACAAGGATAGCAGAGCAAGTTTATGATATCTTACTTTTTAAACATTCTTGTTTCAGTAGGTGTTTTTCATAGAAGGTATGGTTCATTCAATACACGAAGCCAAGTGTTTTATTAAGAAACAAGTTAAAGAGTGTTGAAAAAATCGAATTTTTGACCGGCGGAATCTAAAAATTCTGAGAGCTGTTAAAATATTTGCTGCGTCACTGTATCTGCTAACATACTTTGCGTGCGCTTCTATCACTTATTTGCCAGGCGTTGGATCCTCTTCGAATACTTAATGTAGTTTGCTTCGCGTGGGATTACAGACCCGCACTAGAAGTTCAGACTCTCGGTTGGATTGTCGGACTGAACCTAACTCCAGGCCTCGTGCTTGTAAAATAGTATGAAACATACCGTGGTTCACTCCTGGCAGTGGGCCCGGGATTAAGAACAGAATGTAAAATGGTGAACCTGGCTTTGCAAATCTAACTTGATAAAAAAAGGCACGCGAATACAGTAGGTTGTGTGAAGCAGATGTCTGCATAGGGATTCGCCATCGGGAAACGGGCCTAGTGTTTATCCTATCGGCGGATGTGTCCGGATTTTGGGGAATTTTGGGTCACAACTAGTATGTGGCACTGTAAGTTACAGATACTAGTTTGGAAAGCGGTCTGAAAAGCCTATGTCGACATGGTATCCAATCAGGACTCGTAAGTGTCGGAATTAGTTTCCGGCAATCAAGTCGTCAGAGTGTGGCGGTATAACTGATTTCGAAAACTACTCCACAACTTGGTAAAAACCATTGAATGGCACAAGAGTAAATTAGAATTGGCTCAAGAATAAAACAGGTGAACATTACCGGTTTCGGTATACTGGGAGCAAAGCTTTTCTAATTTATGATTGGCTTGTGGTTACTCCTTTCTCCACCTTGGAGAAGGGCCGCACCGTCGTATAGGGGAATCTAGATAAACTCGGTGATCCACTGGCCCACAGAAGGGACCCATTTGGCTTAGCTTGGCAGCGTGCCACAGACACGAAATACGAGTCTGGCGCTTGCGAACGAAGTCGCTGTGTGACTGTTGGCTAAGCAAGACATCATCGGTGAATCTGTGGGCGTGACGCGCGATCGCCGTCCCGCCTCATCTATATAACACTTTACATCTGTCATTTGCCTAGATCTCCCCTCGACCACCCCCATATGGACAGTACCTCTTGTCATCATTGGAGCTCTCCGTACATTGCTGTCCGCATCACCTGCCGATCTGCATCGCCACTTCCACCCAGCAACCAACCAACTTATCCACCTTAGCGCTCGCATGTATGCCATGGGTTTTAGACTGTCGGCAGGCCTTATGGAACCGTCAGCCTCTTTCAATTGGGCTGAATTTGGGCTAAATTTGGTTGCGATGTTTCAGGGCAATCACGGCGTCTAATATCAATTTGTTATGCTTCGTGCCATCACTATATGGCCTCACTTTTACTAAACTTGCTGGCGCGTAATTGCTAGACCGTTTGATTTTGCCAACCCAACACCTACGGGTTTTAGATATAAATTGGTCAAGTAGCCCGATCTAATTGTGATTCCATTCTCAATCAGATCACTACTTCACGAGGTCGAATTCACTCTAATTTTGATTTACTCTTTGACTTAAGCGAAACCATACCCTTAAAAAATACCTTTATCGCAATCAGAAACAATGGTCCGCACAATCCATCTGGCAATATTCTCGAACGGCGCGCGGCCCGCTCATTATGCTGTTTTTGTCCCTTCGGGTGATGCGGGTAAGGTGGGGAAACTTATACATGTCACCGGGACTACAGCCACTGGATTTTTCCGAGAGTTCAAGCGCAACTACGACTTCAATGCCACCCAACGCAAGCACCATATTATACCTCTTGCTCAAGTCGATGGGCGGTTCATTACTGATACTGTGGGTAATGGACAGCCGGGAGTAGACACAACTGCGCGTGATCGACTAGAGTCAGCCGCCACAGTAGTTCTGCCTCCCGGCCGCAGTCCCAACCCTTTTGACCCATCGGTATGTTGAACTTCACAAAATAATAGCAACCCCTAATTTCTTTGCGGCATAGGCTCCAAATTGCCAAGATTGGCTGCAAAGTTACGTCCAAAAGCTTGTCGAGGAGGGTCTCATAGCTGGCAGCGCCATCTCAGTGGTCCAAAATGCTCCAAAGCTACTGTGAACTAGGCGGCCCTAGGATTCCGTCCTGTCAGCGAATGTGGAGATATTCGCTGGGGGGATTTCTCGCTCTCCCGCTTTCATTCGCGCGCTTTACGTTGTTATTTGCTATCTATGTTTCGACGCCGTTATTATTTCACGCAATGTAGAAAAGAGATCAATAAAAGCCGGAGCAATGAAACGCTGTCTTTATCTCAACATCCCATGGCCGTCGTGTAGTAGTCCCACGGATCCCAAGTGCTGGTATACTGACACAAAATCATTGGCAAATATTTTCTAGACCATTCGTCATTCCTGTCAGCAGTATACTGCGCCTTTCTGGCCTCCCAGTACGCAGGTAGCCAGCCTGACTGTTCCCAATCGACGATTGCAAGAACATGGTAAGGTTCAGAGCGTGTTATCAAGACGTTGCTCCGGTGGAGATCGCCATGCGTAAATTTGATTTCACTATCATCAGGCAGGTCCTGACGGAACGGTTCGATTGGGACAGAATATGGATCTGGCATTGGTTTTCGATATAGGAAAGTGAACCAGTCATGGAATTCCTGGACGGTATTGAACGGCCCTGCTTCGGGCATAGACTCGACGTGGAATGCTCTGTCATATAGAGGAGCTTGTGCAATGTTACCTATACGTGGAGAAAGAGTTATGGGTGTAGCTCAGGAAATGCAGAGGCCGTTGAGAGCATCGTACCTATGAATGATTCTGCCGGCTTCTGTTCAAGGTGGCGAAGGTTGCTGTAGATTGTCCGGAGCTCGCAACAGATCGAAACGCGGTCATCAGGTTTCAGCTTGTCCCACACTTGCTCCAGAGTCTGCGCATGCAAATACTCCATATAAATGAAAGTTTGACCGCCATCCTCCCGCCACCCGTATATCTCCGGAACCGGGACAAGATCTTTGAGGAGCTGGCCGAGAGCATAGAGGCACTGACCCTCTGAAATTCTCGCAGCGCTTCCCCATTTGACAAACAGCCCCAGATCCTTGAATATCACAGGTGGTGGTCGCACATGAGGGCCGGTTATCGAAAAGGTTTTTCTATTGTCTGGGCAGACTCCTGCGAGATGTTGGGCTTTGGCCTGCGAGCGTACTTCTTCCGGTGTGGGCAACTTGGTGAATTTTCTGAAGAATTGAGAATCTTTGACGTCAAAATCGGGAGATTTTGGTATCATCAGAGGCGTCAATTGTACGCGGTCTTGTTTGATGAGTGCCCCGCATTTTGAATCGCGTGACAGCATATTTGATCATAGAAAAAGTCGAGAGATAAGTGTTGGAGGGGCTGGTGCCTTGGTGTTGTTCGTTTGAAATCACGGAGCATGTGGTGAAGGGAGGAAGTGAGTTTCGTAGCTGCGGTAAGGACACTTTAAACCGCATTAGTTATGGTTTGCATTGTTTACAATTAATGGGTCCGTGCTAACCTCGAGAGCCTTGACGGAATAACGCTGGTTCACCCCAAGCTTCCTATTGGAAACAGAACTTCTAGCTAGCCAATGATATCTCACAATTACCACCCATATACACCATGTGGGTCCGGTAGATCATTTCTCCTAACATCCCGTATGCTTCATGTATATTTCTGACAAGTGTGCCTAGGGACCAAATCATGGATCCTGGGGTCGAATATGATCCCAGGAACGTGAGGGTACTCGTGGGATTAAAAATGGGATTTTGAACAGGTAATTAATATCATATATACAAATTAAAATGCGGGCAATAATAATGTTCAAAGAAGACATTCGAGGAGAGAAATGATGTTGAAGATCGATTAAATGCAACGGTTATTTGGGAGTTGACTCAACGATGCTTCCCACGGCTCATTAATGACTATTTGCAATCTAAGATGAAAGCCATTTTCGGTCGATCGATTGCAAACATGAGTTGGAATGGGGAATTTTGCTAGGTGTTTGTTATTTATAGAAATGGGAGTCTGTATTCACCTTCCGTTGGGTCGGCGAAGTTTCATTTCACGCCCAGGGAGACTGCTAGAGAACTTGAGATATTGCCGCATAGCTGGTGAAAAACGGATATTCTGCGATCCAACAATAAGAACTGGGATCGAAAACGGTTGTGCCCAAGCACAGAGCCCAAAAACTTTATTCTCGTCTAAATGCTCCGGAACAACCACAGAATGGGCAATAATGCATCCCCCCAGACTTGCACCAGGACCAATTATTAGAACATTGAGAACAGTAATATTTGTGGTGATCTTTCGTCGACCCTCTTTCTCCAGACAGAGATGTGACGAGATCGGCAGCAAAGCCGACAGTTTCCTCGAGGACAGAACAAAACCTTTCACTCTTCATCAGTTCAACGATATGATCCTTTGAAATTTGCACCAGTAGCTCTCGGAGATCTCCATCATCTTTCTGAGTACATTGATATGCCTCAGCAATGGCAACGGGGAAATCATCCATCTGCCAACAGGTTCTTGCGATTTGTCCAAACTTCTCTTTGGCCCTTTGCTTGAGCTGGGGTACAAAATATTTGTCCGCGACCTGATATAACCTGACATTGAAGATCATAGGAGAAACGCGGCCAAGCTCGTTACCGCTGCTATCATAGTCAATGCCGTACATAAAGTGGATCATTGCCTCGATAGCACGAGGATCATCGTCATTCAACTGGATCGTATTGTCGGCGGTCTCCTAACATCTAGGTTAGAATTCAGAATGAAACCTCGCCTGTGGGGTCGTACTGCCCAGTTGCCCCTGTACAATCGCGCAAAATATTCAGACTGCCCACAGATAATTAATCTGTGCAACTTGAATTCTTGCTCTTCGGTTTTGATAACAAGGTCCGAAAACTGAGAAGATATGAAGAAACTGCAACCTTTAGCTCGAAATAACTAAGTGTCTGGGTTAAATTGCTAACCTCTGTATGCTAGCAGTTATATCCCCCACGACTTGACCAGGGTCCGTTCCATGGCCAACAGGAATTTTCTGAATCTGTCCAGTCTTCTCTTCGGACATCTCGATCTCTGCGTGAGGAACCGTGTGTATGCTTTCCACACGTAAGCTGTTTTTACGTAGAGCCTTCTTATTTTTTCTCTTCATGAGATAACTGTAAAGTATGAACCACGCAATGCGCTTAGGATTTGCAGGAAGGGAGGAGGGAGGACTGAGGAGCTTTTCATACGAAATCAGGTCCTTATTCTTAAGTGACTACACAGACCGCCTTCATGCATGATGAATGTAAGTCTGATGTATGAACGGAGCCACCGAGAAGGACCGACCAGTCTTGGAATCTACGTGACACTCAATGTCCTCCTTGAATATACGGGCATACCGCCCCAGTCCAACCTGTTAAGTGTTCAGATCACACTCCTAAGCCCGCCAGCGGCCAGGGCCCCAGGGGCATCCCCAGTAAGGGCTTTGGATCTTATAGATGGTGTCAAGATCGATAAGTGGGGATTTCCTCCGTCGTCTGACTCTACAGGTATACGCCTCAGTTACCATGCAGTTTGGGGGGTTAGTGAAAGGCAATACTGGCACTGACCAAATCTGCCTGCTTACACCCCCCAGAATACAACGATATAACGTTATTTAATTGGTGTTTTAGTTGATGCGGAATACAGGATCGTTTTCATGAGAATCGGGCGATGAAGGATATGGGCAAAAATATTAAAATATGAGGCATGCAAAGTAGTGGGTATAATCTAGAGGACATCTAACACTAGCTTTAATCGGGCGATGAAGAATATGGGCAAAAATAATAAAATATGAGGCATGCGAAGCAGTGGGTATAATCTAGAGGACATCTAACACTAGCTTTCATTGAGGGTAAGAAATGTTGTTTTAGGTGCGAGTGATTATCTGGTGGCCGATTTTCCATTAACCTATTCAAAACTGAGAACACAGTTAGAGACTACAATGGTAAAGAAGGCCTTGCGCCTATAAATACCGTGTCAGGCATCTACGTCGGCCCCTCCGGCATAGCTCATGATCATTGCAGGTTCTGTAAGCACTACAGTTTGCCTCGTGCACAGATCCTATTCCTGGAAAGGGACTTAACTACCCAGATAGGCCAGGTACGTCATTTTATTTTCCCATGAGGTCCCTCGGAATGATTGCATGATGTTTAACCGCAAAGACTAGTGCATAGCGAAGCTTGTTTCGTCCAACAGACGGACAGCGATAGAGGTAAGCGTATTCTCTATTTCAAAAGAACTTCGCTGACTACTGGCCTTATTGCGTACCTTCCTCACAGGGAAATGACACAACATAATTGTCCTTCGAAGTAAAGGGCTCCTATAGGAGGACGGAATGCGGGCGTCGCGAGTGATGCAATTGAGATAGTAACCTCGCTATGGTGACTAGACTTGTGAAGATGGACCGAACTTATCTATGTACTGACGAGGCACATTAGGCACCATCGAATCAGCGTATGTTTTGGAAGCAGTGACTAAAATCAATCGTGGCCAGAGGTTGTTTATGCCAGAGGCACCAATCCAGTCTAGAGTCAAGGAGTAAGTTGGATCCCCTCCGCGACTAGCGGGCCCACTACTATGTTGACTTGAATCTGCATCGTTCGACTATCTACTGAATACTTCTTCCAACTAGGGATGGAGCAAACAATAACCGAATTACGATGTCAGCTTTGAAGAACAACGAAGGCTTCGAGAAGCGGCAGAGCGCCACTGGAGAGGCCGAATGGCGACCCCAGCCCCACGCTCTCTTTGCCCTTTCAATCACTGCCACATCTCTGTCTTAAGCGATCCGAGTTGAGACGGATGTGACCCTCACAACTCGGTACGAGACTCACTTACCAACGGAAACCTTGCGTCATTTATCGGGGAAATACTTCTACCGGAAACCGCGATCAGCTGACATCAGCCTCCTGTCCTGGATAAGGTACCCACCAATCGAGACCTGTCGCGGTTGTCTTAAGCTACTTCCCCCTCTGACAGATCGATGGCCGACAACAACTCGCCAGATTACAAGGCTCTCTTTCTGCAGGCAGAGCAGAGGCGCAAGCAGGAAGAAGGGAGCAGGAAGCACGCATAAGATGAAGGACGACGCGAGAAAGAGAGGCGGGAGCAGGCCGAATTACAACGAAACCAGATTGAAGAGCGCACCCGTCGGACAACTTTCCTGGAATTCCTACGCCACTGCCACAACCTACTATCCCGACGGTTGAAAGTCGCAAGGCCGTCTCGCTCGACCACCGGGACGATACCCCTTCCTAAGGGCAAACATTGCCCGGCACGACTGCGTCCATGGACGGATTGTGTCCGTCAACAGCAAGCCATCTACGACAGGGCATGCACCTACCTACAATCTACTGATGAATCCTGAGCACAACTCTTCCCTCCCGTGGTTACACTTGAAGAGCTTGCTAGGCGTTTCGCTCTTCGACCTATCAGCAGTGAACAGGGCCTTGAAACATATGAACGGATTGCCGTGGAAGATCAGAGGCAGGGGGAGAGACAGAGACGGAATCAAGCGGAAGAGCGCAACTGACGATAACTTTCATGGAATTCATGCGCCATGCCACATCTTCCATTTTCGACCGGCGAGAGTCGAAATACCATCAAGCTCGACTACAGGAACAATATCGCTTCTCACTGCCCGACTCGATTGGAACGTTGACAAATTGCCCAAGACAGCTTACGGGCACCTAAACCAATTTTTGCAATACACGAGTGGGGTTGGGGGAAAACATGCAAAGAATCCTCCCCAGTTCGATGATGCCCATAAGCCCCATGGACCGACTGCGTTGCTTGATTCGGTTGTTGTCTGCACTGTCAGATAATAGGGTGGGAGGAACGTGCCGTCTTCCATTGCCGAAACCCTTAGGGCATAGAGTCGACTTGGTCGGTCAGGGAGTACATTATCTACTATGATTTCATAATCGCCAAGGAACTCTTCAAGCAGGATAATGGAAAAGTTCTTAGACTTATACTGTGAGTTGACTACCTCTTGAAACTGTCATTGTGCACTAAACTCTGCTGCGTGGAAAGACCCCAAAGATTAACTCGTCTGTCCTAGAGAAACATGTTCTCAACGCATTGTGCTCGACGAAACTCTTCCGAAAGTCTTTCGTTCGATTCCGCGGCGATTTCCAGACATCTGTAGGTCACCGGCTCTTCCTCGACCGTGGCGAGTGCGTGTGCAATAGAAATAAGATTCTTGATCTAATAACGGTCAGCCGGTGAACAATAACTAGCGTCGCTGGAGACTAACATCTCTTCCATTTAGAGAGAACTTGTCCAACTGCTGCAACTCATCTTGTCCAACAACAGGAGGACCCTGGGCCGTGTGTGCTTTGGATAATAGATTCGTCCAGATCTCCCGACGAAACTTCGCTGTCAAGCCATCATATTTGATGGTCATGTGAATCCTGCTTAAGATCGCCTCATCGAAATCTATCAACCGATTCGTGGTCAAGAAGAGGACGCCCTGGTAATACTCCAGTTTTCGGAGGAAAACGGTCACGAGACGATTATGAGTATCATGGTAAGATTTGCGCTGCTCCATGAATGCATCTGCCTCGTCCAAGAGAAGAACAGCGTTGAAGTGCTTGGCAATCTTGAATATGCTTGCGAGTCTTTGCTCGAGCACACTGGAATCGGCGGAAGCGACGACAAGGTCTCCGGCCGATATCTAGGCATGTTAGGAAGCCCACAACCGAGACAACGGGCAATGCTTACAGAATAGAGAGGAAGGTTGAAGTGCTCTGAAGTTGCCTCAACAGTGAAAGTCTTTCCGACGCCTGGCGGACCACTAGAACAATTCAGATACCAAGTAAGTAATGGAGGGTGTTTATCAACGTACTGCAAAAGAATGTTGAGCCCACGGCCCTTTCCGTTAATTACATCGTCAAATGGCACCCCTGGTACTAACCCCAAGCGAGTTTTTGCCAGTGACGAGAGGAGAGTCTTTTTCTTCGACGGTATCTTCAGACAGTCAAAGGTTTCCGGGGTCCATGTCACCTCGCGAAGAGCACCAACCGCGCACTCCACTATTCTATATTAGTCATCATATCAACTGCTCTTGATCACGTAATACTCACAGAACTGCTTCTCCTGGAAGCTGAAGCAACAAACTGTCGGACAGCTGATCAAAAAGTCGTCCTCTCCCATTTGTTGTACTTCTACGCTGCCTTTCTGCATTCCTTCCTTCTCCCTTTCACGGTCCCTTTTGAACAGCGCGCCTATGTCGATAACTGCGTCGCCATCGTTCTTCTTTGGCCAGTTGTCTTGGAGTCGGGGCCGGGAATAATTCGGCAGCATTTGACGGAAAAATGCTGCGTCAACTCCCACTTGACCATTGATTTTCACTTCGACAGCGGTGCCGTTTTTCATGAAGAAAGCGCTTCCGTCACAGTGTTGGATGTGCGTCCCTGCCAGGTCACGGAATTTCTGACCTCTTTTTACCAGTTCTTTGCGGACCGCATCACAATCTGGATGATAGTGGAGGGGGAAGGCTTGGAGAGCCTCGATTGGCTTTGATCCCCGGAATTTCGTGACCCCGAGAAAGATGCCGGCTTCGCCAAACTTCTGTCCATCATAGTCGAGGTACCGGCATTCAAGTCTATAATACGTGACGTCGTCTTCGGTCGTCTCTTCGCCCGCATCGAATATAACACATCGCGGCTCTCCTGTTCCGAAGCACCTGCCATACACGTGGGAACCAGGCTTGAAAAGTGCCCAAAGAAGGTCGTACGTGATATGGCCATGCTGTAGCATGGAATAAAGACGTTGTGAGGTCGCCGCATATGTATGCTTGAGGCGGTCGATGAGCAAGCGGAGATCCTTCACTTGTGCAGGTCCACGGTCCGGATCGTTGTTCATGGTCTCCGCATATTTTTCCAGTTCTGGGAGGAAATGGAATAGCACATGTTGCTCGATCTAACCTCAAGTCAGCATTCTCCTTAAAGGGAATATCAGTTTCAATTACCGATGGCTTATCTTCCATCAGGCTAACGGCCTTGATGTCGTGCAGCACCTCACGCAGGATGTCGCGCAAGCCTTCCGATTTGACATCTACGTATGACATCACCTCCTCGGACTTCCGGTCTAATCCGATCATTAGTAGACTTTCGGGTCTGTATCCAACGGTATCACCTACCAACACGTTCACGGACAACGAACACATACTCGGTATAGTCGTCCGGATCAGTGCAGTTCTCCGTCGGCTCGGCTATCTTATATTTACAAGCCTCTTTGTCCCAGCTGTACCTGTGTCAGCAATTCCCGAATAAAAGAGGGTCTAATGGCAAGCTCATACGTTTCCACGACTGTTTTGAATTGGGATGCTGATGCCCATTTCTCAAACGATTTGAAATCATCTGGAGTAGTACAGATTTGACGATTGAGGTCAATTTCATCTGCCCCCTGAAGAACCTCTTCCTTTTCATTGTTGGCACAGCAAGACTGAGCAGGATTAGTTGCCATGGAGAGCTCAGCTGAAGCACATTCCAGCAACTGCCGAACCATGTCGGGGTCTGGTGGGGACTGGTCTTGGGAGGCAGGAGTGTTTGGAGGTTCTTGATTGGTAAGATCGAGCAGCACCTTTTCAAGAAAAATGCCAAAGAGATGCCTCAGATCCTTCACGATAGCTGGAGGAGTAGCTCTCCCCTTCGTCGGGCTATCCGGGGGCGTCAACCCTTGGTGGCAGGGAGAGGAAGTCTTCAATGCCATGTTGTGCAACTGAGAAATATGGGTGCGGTATGGGAAGCTGGTATGAAATGTACAAGAGACTGGAGTGCTAATGATGAACAGAAAGGTCGATGAGAGCTCGAGGAATGGCTTCTTCTTATATATTCGTAACCCTGGTCATCCATGCCTGTGTCTCACTATCTGTTCTCGATAAAATATCTCGTTTCCTATCCTTGTAGATTAGTGCATGCAGCAATGTCCATGAACTGGGCGGCTCCCTCCTCGCTCAGAATGGCTAGACATGCCTATACAGGAATTTACGAAGATCCCACGCTGATTTGAGAGCAACTTGCATGAACTTGTATGTATGTTGCAGGGGAATGATTCGACTGAGCTTGGGAAATCGAAGCCACCCAATTTGGTCTCGTCGACTAGTTTCCAGAGCGGCTGTAGCTTTCTGTATGCCCCCAATGCAAGTGGTTTTCACTCATCTATGTTGTTCAGGAATGGTATGCTCTCTCAGCCACCAAGCATTTTCACCATAACAACTACCAGTACCAGCTGCAACGACAATATCGGAGTCGCAGCTGAGCAACAAGTTAATTATGGGCTCACTGAAAGTCACGTGAATATCAAAAAAAACTACCGATATCGACCGATTTTTACCGATTTTACTAGTTATTCTCCTAAATCAAAGATATTTCTTGTCAATTTCCAACGTTTTTTATCTCTTTCTTCCGATGGAAATACTCGGTACATATCCTCTACATTTGGTTTCTGTGGTTGCGAGACAACGCAATGCCCGTTTCTGTACAAGTCCTGGGACGCGCCTCGAATAAATATAGCCAGGAAGATTGATAATTCCAATAAGAGCATTGAAAGGGCTTCCCCATTAAAATGACAATGTGGCTGCAACGTATGTGCATACTCGAAACCAGTCATAAATTCTTCCTGAGTCTCCTCTCGTCCAGAGCTCCAGTTGATTTGTTGGTCCAATGAGAATATCCTAATTGCGCATAGAATATTTGATAGCCAACTGGCAGCGAATGCTCCCGCAGGCGGGGTAAAAGTCGACCGTGCTTCGCTGTCCAAGTCAGAAATCTACTCAGACGCAAGCAAACCCCTCATCTCCCTTTTTTTGCACATGCTACACAGAGGTTGTCTCAGCACAAATTTTAAGGCTGGATAGTGAGCCGCGTTTTTTAGGATATTCTAGCCCTCTTCCCGCTCCAAGTAGACTCTCCACTGCCTCACCACAAAAATCGCTCATTCGATTTAGTGACCTCAAGGGTGTAGGAAAAGCCACAAACCCTTCTCTCAAGCTACACTGACCAGAATAATAGATCCACGCTGTTTCCCCACATCACCGGAGATGGCCGAGCAGTCTTCATCAGAGAAACCCGCTGTTAAGGAGGCAGAATATAGTATTGGAGGCAGTCTTAAGACGTTTCAACAGCTCAGCTCATCGGGAGGAGCGGCACGAAAGAAGAGGCAGGATAATCACAAGGAAAGGATCATGGGAGCTTTAGGCGACGCAATCCAGGAGCAGTTTTCGAAAGAGGAAGGGAAGGAGAAACAAATTCATTCAGACAATTAGTCTGTACGGTGTTCAAAGGCGTGCCGAAGGTCTTTGTCGTATTTCTCTTTGTCCGCGAGCTTGCGACCCGCGATACCTCCCACGTTCTTCTCGAAGAAGAAAGGCATGACCACACCAAACTCTTCATCGTAATTCTTACAAAATAAAGGCTTGATATGGTTGCTGAAGATAGTGAACACCCCCGAGGGACTTGAGATCCCCATTGTGTACCAGAATGCACCCGATTCCCACGTACGATTCATAATCTCCGAGAGACGCAACGGTGTAGATCCATCATCCATCTTGCGGTGAGGCAATTCCTCCTCAGTGACCAAAGCCTCCATAAATTGTCGACGGATAAGATCGTATTCCGCAGGAACAATCTCATCCACACCTTTGTCCGTAAGCCAAAAGGGAGGCATCATCATTTCGATTGGCCGGGAGCAGGCCCATTCAAGGTCCACGAGACATTTTATATGCCATTGTGCATCGACAAAGATGTTGCTTTGATGGAGGTCGGTGAAACAAAGAACAAATGGGCCTCTTCGAAAACTCCGGTTGAAAATCGACTGAAAAACTGTTCGCATGGCAGTTAACACAGAGAGCTGGTAAGCACAGTCTCCGAGATTATTAACAGCATTTGGTTGCTGGCGAAATCGGTTGTCATGAGCTCCCAACATATCAATCACGTATGAGTCAACGGTTGAGTAGGTATAATCACGGGATATATCGGTGGATATCCCTTCATTCTCCAGCTGCTGTATTTCAACTGAAAGAGGTCGATTTGCAAGATGTAAAAACCCGTAGTTGTCGATTGTTAACGAGCCAATTCTGGGAAGCGGAGATCGAGAGAGACTCAGAAAAATTCGAGAAAGATCACGGAAAAGGTTTGTTCGTAGCTTCCGGTCATGTCGCCCTTCCTTCCACGTATTGGAGAGCATTACTCCTCGTGTTTCGTCGACAAATTCAACCAGAATGTAGCCCATATCGGCCAGCCCGCCAATGGACATGGCGTTGCTGTACTGATGACGGGTATAATTTGATGGGGCAGGTTTCCCTAGCCATGATAAAACTTTCCGGCGCATGAGCCAGAGATAGCGAGAGAATAAAGGCATACATCGGAGAAGAGTAAACTGACGAGTATTAGTAGGCTTTCCTGGACACCGGGATTTATTAGCTACATACCACTTCTCCGGATGACAAAGAAAAGCCATAAAGCTGGGGTATTGGTATTTCCGAACAATTCTCTTGGAGCCAGGCATAGGTCCCCACTTCGCACCGGATTTTCTCGTCGCTGTTACCAGGATTGAAGGTCTCGCCTACACGGTAAGGCAGAGGGAATCGAAGAAGAACTCGCTTGTTTTGCCGGTTGTGAATAGTTACCGGTACACAAACATTGAAGCTACCGTGAAGCCAATCTTCAACATCCGAAACTTCGCATGCAGCGGGTGAACTCAAGTTGAGATGGTGGGCGACGACTGCCTTCATCCAATCACTTTTGTCGCGAAGGTGAGCGAAAAATTGAGCCTGTTGGGCATAATAATCAAGTTGGTGGAGCATGTTGAATTCATCATCTTTCACATCTGAGTACGTGACTTCTCGTCGAAGAAGACGTCGTTTCTTGGGCATGGCGTCAAATACTAAATCTCTTTGTTTACCCAGATAAATTATTATTCAGGGGCTGACAGTCTTTCCAACGTAATATCACATGATATACGCGGCCGCGTGATATGTCACGTGATTTTATATTTCCATCGATTCCGATCGATTTCCGCCGATAACCCACTACATTAGAAAGTTTTCCATCGATTTTGTCTAAATCTCAGTAGTACTTCGCTGCAACTCACCCATTTTTTTTGCTATCAAACAAGATGGCCCGATCGTCTCAGCATGTTGCAAGTCGCCCAAAGTCACTGACAGTGAATGAGGCTATTCTTAAGCTCCAGGACGTTTCGGAGCTTGTGCGAAAAAGGGGGATTTCAAAGCTACGGAAGCAAAGCGTGTGAAGGGTGCTTTCAGTCACCTCAACGCCACAGCTACTGACGAAGAACCGCCACGACAGCAGCATTATGTGAAGTTTCTTCGAAGACTGAAAGATGTCGCAGGGGCTGCTATGGTTGCCTTGAGTGCTGCAAGTCTCGGACAGGCTGCTGTATACTCCATGACCGATCGGGTCAGGACAGAGCTGCCATTCAAAATATTAGAGCGCAGGGGTGGTCTCCAGAACGCGGTGATTGAGTCTCTTGCGACCAAATATGCGAGTTCCACTGAGCCCTGTCCTAGCCAAGTCGTACACGTTGCCGGTCATATCTCGTCGGAAGTTGGTGAGTGTTCTTGATGGCTATTGCAATATGTGCAGATGTAATAGTGCATAGCTCACCTACAGGCAAGGGCATCCATCCCAGCTTGCGCCATCCAGTCTTGCAGACCAATCTACGGGCACTGCCCTCGACGCGAACTCACGTGTTATCAATTTCAATCCAGGTAAGAAATACACAATGTACATGTCGATATTTCTTCTCACAGAAATCAGAGATACCCCAGACAGCAGCACATCTATATTTACAACCATCTCCTCACTCAGCTGATGGATCAACATATTTTCTGTCATTGGGTGATTCTCCAAAGCTCCAGATCAGCCTTCTTCAGAGCGAGCCACCACACCGAACAATCAATATATCAATCACACACCTCATGAGTTTCCTGCAAGGTCTTCAAGACCTCACGAATTTGCCCAGCACAATCAACCTGCTCCAACAATATGAAAACAGCTGCCCTAATGTGCAGCTAAAGGTCCCTCTTTATGACGCGTTTCCCTCCATTGAAATCAAAGTGACCAGAGATTTGGGGTCAACGGTGTTGCTGATCTTCACGTGGGATATCGCTAATGACCTGTTGTATTCACTTGGGACTAGAATGGCGAATGTAACGGACTGAAAGTGGATCCAGTAGTAAAAACTTTTCTTCTGGCCCAAGAACAAGAAGAATTGTACCAGATAGCCCATCAGTCCTTGTATACCGTGCGGGCTTTCCAATCACTCTGATAACACCGCCTCCATTTGTATTTTCGACCAGGATCCCACAGACAGCTCGATCGACAGAAGTGACAACAGAAACTGGTGTCCAGCTCGCATCGATGGATATGTTATTAGGCTGGATGGTGTCAAACTTATTTCCAATAATACTGCAAGCTTCAGGCGCCCTTACCAAATTATTCTTCTCTCTTAATTGAGTTCTAGCTATCTCCAGGATAGAATCATCGTCTATGAGATGGCTCACGTCGAGCCCTTTAACTTCCTTTTCTTCATTGTCCATCTTGGAGACCTGCTCAGTCCTTGAGAAGGCCAATGTGGGGTTTCAGCGAGGAATCAATGTCGAGGCTTGGAGGCAATTCGGATTGAAGGCAGGCGCATCCCTTGAAGCTGATATGAGGGTGCAGGAAAGAAAACCCCAAAAAAAAATGGGACGGCGGGAGGATGGTGGCTTTTATCCTAACTGGGAATTAGAAATTCCCTGTCTCCACCTCGAGGTCATTTCCCTCAGAATCCAACGTAACTTTCACTTGGAACTCACCCACGAACCACGTTTGTTCCACCGGAGGACTGTTGCCTCGTTGATGCAAGTTCTTGGGCACCAGTGCGTCGAAATACGTCCACGTCCTATTTTCTTTGTCTAGCATCTGACGTCAGAGCCACGTCTACCAGATTGAAAACCGCACGCTCACCTAGGAGGGCACTAGACTTGCCTCATCGACCGAATAGAGGTAGTTCGGTTGTTTTGATGATACAATACAACTCCCTGGGATGAGGGAGGAGATGGCGAGCCGGGACTGAAATTGGGTATCAATTGTCTCGTGGTGTGTCCGCGGGGTTGCCTCAGAGCCCAACGCCGTTAATCAGCTGATTCATGACTAAGCCAATGTCGTCACCCATCACCTGGTCTCCCCTGTTTCTGATTGGCCATCTGGTGCTACAGATGCAAGAAAAGGAACAAAGTGTGGTGTCGCCGTTGGGTCCCATTATGACTTTTACACAGAAAATAGCAATTTGAGATGGCTTCTTCATTCCTCTTCCAGGAACCTCGGAGTAGTGTCTCCCCCGATACGTACGCGTTGTGCATCTGGACGCTCACAACACTCGCGCCTCTGATAGTTGAACACGAAAGCATTCCGACTCGGAACTGAAACTTCAAGGAAGTGGATAGAACAGCACAAAAATGTTGCTTGGGAATTAGGGAACCCCCTCGCTCAGATTTTCTGGCATAGGGTCATCATATAGGTCACTCCACTCCGTTCATAAACTATCATTTCGAGCCAGATAAATCTGTATTTCATACTATGTAGGGAGTAACGTCGCTATTTACAGGCTCTTCCTAGCTGTTTCCTGAAGTTCATTCATAACTCTCTCCGCTTCAGCATCCTGGTCTTCGGCGAGTTTGTCAAAGCGAGCTGTAGCCGATTTGACATGCGTGCCTCGCGCTTGTTTCTTCAACCATTCTCGCAGACCTGTGTTCTTAGCTTGCGAATTGACTTGCAGAACAATGTTCAGGTATCGGTTGTCGATCAGTTCACCCGCATCAAGACGCAGCTAGTAATCTGCATCATTTTTGTTCGTCTGCGATGGAAGGATACGACTGCCGGGGTGGAGGTTCCGCCAAACTTTTTGGCAACGTCAAAGTTCTTTCTGGTTTTCGTGAAAAAAAATCCTTGATTTGCTTCATTACGGACTTATTCCGAGAGGGCTATCGATAGAAAGCATACATCGCAAATCAAGTACCACTGAAATACCACTGAAATTAGGATGTTCCTTGGGTCAGAATGATAATATATAGCGCAAACAGATAGTAGTTGGGCGAGACCTTTAAAATCTGATGTTGTTGATATTTTTTTTTAAAAAAAACAGACACTTGGAGAGCAGCCTTTATTTACATGATCAACCAATTCTTCTCACATTGCCTTGGGCTTCAACTCAAGGCAGCCTGAGTGCACCTGCGTGCCGATCGCAAGGGTAAGGACAGCACGGCTCCAATCAACTGCTTTGAGAAGCGGAGTTACGATTTCCTAGCCGCCAGTCACTGTACTTGAAACACGGAAAGAAGATACACGCCCAAAAATCCAAACTTGTTTATGGATAATTGGTATGCAGATTGAATTGCACCGAGTCGGTGCCAAATCAAAAGCGGTAAGGTGTGAGCGGCAATGCAGATAATTTAATTGGTGAATGCCAAGACGTCAAAACAATCGGCCGCATTAAGGGCCAAGGGGGCGCTTCAGACCTCCAATCTCGAACTCCCCTGCAGCTGACAATCTGGGAAAAGGAGACCAGCAGTCTGATATGCTCCGAGTCTGGCGGCGGTTGGGAGTCCCTTCGTCAATCATTCAGCATTGTCCATTCCGTTGCCCATCTCGAACATTATCCGACATGGGAAACAAGAGCAGCGCCCCTTCGCCACATACCTGGCTCGACCGCACATCCCAAGGAACAGATTTCGCAAGAACTGACTCGTCGTTAGTAGCATACACTTACCGGCATTGACCGACGAGTTAATATGTCACTGGCTTTGCATTGTAGGACATGATCCGCATTCGTATACTGGTGGAAGATGGCTCAACCGGGACGAGCTCGAGCGAAACTCTCGCCACATTATGTTTGACTTCTCAGCGCTGTGTGAACGGGCTGTTTACACATGTCCAGGAGCCACCAGCGTTGTCAAATATGAGAAGCGAGAAGGTGGATCAACAGAGTCTTCCTTTTAACAATGGACAATGGACCTTGTGTTGTGGCAAGGGTACCTACCGGTATTGCTGGCCCGCCAAGGCTAACGACCAACTCTGAAGTTGCAACGATAACTTATCGTAAGTCTAAGCCGCATCCCCTGTCCTTGAGGGTATCGCTGACATGCTCACTAATTTATGTCTGTATAGTACAATCCAAGATCTCACTTCCGATACCGAAAATTCTCGACTGGAATGATAGTCCTTCCAATCCAACTGGAACAGAATATATTATCCAGGAGCATGTGGCGGGTGTTCAATTACATCAAGAGTGGCACAAAATGAACCCGGAACAACATATGCTGTGCACCAAAGCGCTTTCATTGACAATGAAAAAGATGGCTTCCCTAGACTTCCCGGCCTATGGCAGTCTATACTTCTCAGATGCACCTCTAGACTCGGACTCAAAGATTCCCTTCGAGCAGGGCTTCTGTGTGGGACCACATTGCAGTCCGGTTTTCTGGAACCGAAATCCGGGGGAACATGAACTCTGCCGTGGCCCAAGTCCCAATTGCGGACCTTGGAGAGATCTCACAAATTATTGTCGAGGTTTGATAGATACCGGTTTCTCTCGTTTGCCCAAAGAAGCCGTCAATAGTCGCAAGCTTCTGCCATATCAAGGATCAACCCAAGATCACATACGTCTATTGAAAACAAGTCGAGACGTGCTGCAAAAGTTGATTGAAGATAAACGCATTGAGGACGCTGCTACACCAGTTCTGCTTCACCCGGATTTTCACAAAAGAAATATCTACGTCTCTGCCGAAGAACCAACCGTTATTACTGGCCTGATAGATTGGCAATCAACCAGCATTGAGCCCGCGTTTATTTATGCCAACGAGACACCTGATTTCGC